TCTCTCTCTCTCTCTCTCTCTCTCTCTCTCTCTCTCTCTCTCTCTCTCTCTCCCAATCAACTCGTTATAATACTGAATTATGCAATTCAAACATTTTGATCTATTGTCGCACACCTCAATGCGATAGAATGATAGCTAGTTTACATCATGGAATAGACGCAATCCCATAGTTACAACTCACAATGCTCGCACAATTTTTAAATTATATCGAATTTGGTTCACGTGCCAACAATAATCAAAACATTGAATCTGATTTACACATTTCGTTTTAGATAAGTGCTGATTTCCATCCGACAAAAACTCTCCAAACGAATACACAATGCCATTTACTTCGGTTTTATTTGTTGGATTTTATTATTGTCGAATCGTGTTTATTGTGTCTGCACTGTAAACAATGAACTTTAGTCTTTAGCGAATTCAGTATTGTCCACACTTTCATTTTATGTGTTCGCTATATGCACTGAATCTCACCCAAAACTGCCACAATATACCGTCAATGTGTATGTAAAAATGGCAGGTCGTCCGATGCGCTTCACACATTCGCTCGCATTTAATCATAACGAATTTATTGAAATTAAAAACAAGAACGAAATGAAAATGGGCTTTGGACGAAATGTGCCTAGAGTGTTGTGCGTGCGAGCCAGCACTCAGTGAGCCCCCGAGAGAAATAAAATGATTTATATTACATACCAAGGCCATTGGTATACGTGTACATCATAGTTTTGGCGCAGAATTAAAATATATATCCGATGGAATTAAACGAAGAAAAAAAAAGAGACGAATGGGACGAAAAGCGAATGAAAACGAAATGTATAGCTAGTATTATATAGATACACATACATAAATATATACATACGAAATGGATTGTCACACTTTGGTATTAAGACTATGTTCTCGGCAATTTTTCTTATTTTTTTCATTTTGTCCGCTGCACAAGTATAGAATTTTTGGTGTATGTCGCACAAGTGACAAATGAAATGCGAAATTCATGTACGCGAAATATATGCCCAGTGCTCTCACACTCAATGTGCAATACAAGTGTGTGCGGCCGCATTTTGGCAAAGGGAACATTTTTGTTGAAAACACTTAACCATCTATATGTATGTGCAACACATAAATTCAGAAAAAGGGACAGTCGAGACGAAGAACAGTGGAAAACGAATAAACAGACTTCAATTTATATTTTACCCTAACATCATTTTTGTGTGGCAAAAATGAAACAAAACAAATGTAGCTCGTTTGTTTGCTCACTCGCACACTCCTTCGCTCTCTTTCACTTTGGCCAAATGCTGTGCAGCAAATGGAAATTAAAGCCACTGAAATGAATCGATAAAATACATAGTATGTGAACGGTATGTTCGTCAGACATGATAACGACGTTTAGATATCACTTTGAATGAGTTTATACTATCTATGGTCGCCAGCGTCTCATCAATTTTATTATGAAGAAGGGAAGTTTCTTTGCAGTCGCGACTTAGACAGTATGATTCTCTATCCAACTAATAAAAAAGAATTGATAAGATACGCGCTATTCTTTCTCATCCAATTTATATACTATAAAATTGATTCGATCCACTGTTGTTTTCGACGAAAAACAAAAACACTGGAACATATTCAACGAAATCGATGGCGACGCTTGATTCATCCCTCTTCTCTTCTCTTGGTTGCGACTTCTAAAATCAACCAACCAAATACGTGTCCATGCATATTCCATGAATTGGCTGATACTTTTAATAAACTTGGACGTGTTTTGTCTTCACTGAACACTGTTTGCCGCTTTTGTTGACAATTTTTCGCCAAAGAGCGACAGAGAGAATGAGCGAGGAAATTAGTCAGCCAATTTTCACGCAAATAAAATGAAGCAAATGTAATCTTTATGATCATCTAAATCACTCGGCTAAAAATAAAAAGACACCGAACAACGACAGATTGGATACGCAGACAAAGAGGAATACGAAGCAACTGTCCACAATTATATATTTGCTTCAGACGCATTTTTTTTATCTGCAATTTACGATTTTCACATTATAATTAACATATATGAAATGCGCTTTATACATGTTGAATTAACAGAAATATATTGCGTATGACATTTATGTGTATGTCTTTCGAGTTACAAACTTGAAAAATTTGTGTACCGTCACTCCCACACTCACTCACTTCGTGCTGAAAGAATTTATGTAAAAAAAAGATGAATCTATCATCAGCGTCGGAACCGACAACAGAATAATAGCAGCAAAGACATGAAATTGTCAAATATTTGATCGAAAGAATGTGTAAAGCTATGCTTTTTCATGCTGCTTTCGGCTAATTCAATTGAATTAAAAGAGAGAAAAAAGAGTCAAAAACCTCACAAAACTATTAAATATATTACTTTGCATAAGTTATTTGTCGCTGTGGCGTTCTAACAACATTCAACCGTTTTCCTTCCCATGTGTCAATTGGCCACTAAGTGTTTGTGCGCGTTCAGTATAGTTGAGAAAAGAAAATAAATCAGAATTTATGCATAACATTTGACTTCAATGGATGAATGAACCCGTAAATCTTTTCATTCTATGCGCATTCCAATTCAAAACTTTTTCAGTTCATTTTTCTACTCGTTCGTCGTTTTTTTTTTCATCAGCTCATCGCAAAGCTATTGGCTATTCAATTATCATCACTTCAGTTCATCAAAATTTTGTGTACGGCTCTTTTTTTTTCTTGTGCTGTATATTGCGTTCAAGTTCATCAACAACACTCACAAAACCTGTATGTTAAACGCTTGTCAACTATACATATATTTATGTCACTTCAAAAATCATCATTTTCAATTGTTCACATTGGCTTTGATGGCCCATTGAGATCATTAATTTTAACTGTTTATTTATCTGTTTGATTTAACTATGTATTAATGGATGAATCGAATATAGAGAACATACTGTAATGATATTAAAAATGTGAGAAAAAATTATTAGCTCTCTTAACAAATAAAGTTCCAGTTAAACGTGTGTTTACTTTTGAATAATTAAACTTCATCACACGTACTACGTCTTCGTTAAATATTCAAAAAAAAAAAAGATGTTCTGCGAATCCTCAAAAATATTGTATTAGTAGAGCGTGTGTAATGTCTTTAGAAATATTTTTTTTCTACCTGACAAATTTTTTTCGAACTCACTCACAATGAAACGAGTCCATTGAATGTTGATTTCCATCTTTTATCACAAAAACATCGCGTAATCGTACCAAATTCTTGAAAATTTGTCGACTTAAAATGTTTGTCCGTCAATTCTCATTATTATAACACATATTTTCTTTTAATTTAATATGAAAACTAAATGCAAGAAACACACAAAACAAACTCAAAAGACTGACAAAAATAGCGTCATTTGAACTGCCTTCTTTCCGTTCGACAGTATGCTATCAATGATGAATTTTCATAGTGATGCTATTTTCTTTAAATAAAATTCCAAAGTGTAGCGAGCGACGAAAAACAACTGCACCGTCATCATCAGAACGGTATAGCCTATTTACTAGCTAGAACGAGAAAAGGAAATCTCGTCAAATGCTCTCTTGCATGGAAACATTTTTTGTCAGGTAATGCGTTTGTATTGGTTGGATGGTTGTGTGTCGTGCGCTCACTTTGATTTTAGAACATCTCGAGTTTCAAACGGTGGGGCCAGATTGGCTAAAGCGAAGAGGAAAACTGCAATTTTCGGCTTTTGATTGCATGAGAAAATCTCTCTCTCGCGCTCACATCACTTTCATGGGGATATCATTTCATGTATGTTGTGTGTGTACATGCTCAGTGACTGATACACGCACACATGCTCATGGATCGAATGAATTTCGCATCGTCGCAATCGCATTTGAGCTGGAGAGAGAGAAAAGGAGATTTTGACATCATGGAAAAATTGATTGTGGAGCATGGAAAATGCATTTCTATAACAGCGAAAATCACAACGAAATAACGAACGCTCATGTCGACAGACCAAAAAAAATTCGTTGGCATACGTTTTTATTTTTGACTCACTCAAGTGCCGGGTCATTGTTTTTCATTTAGTGCATAAGATAAATCAATTAAGATTATAATTCTCTGTTTATAAACAAAAGCGAAATAATAATAACGATATCTCTTTCATTCCCAAACATACTCATAAATTCACCGTCACGTTTTACATTTTGAAACCTACATTAAACCAGGCTGATGCTGCTTTGATCTGTTCATTTACGTTATACGCAATTCTCTATCCAAATGCATTAATTTCACGATAAAAACTTAATTAATTTGTGTGCATGCAAGATTGATTGAATAAAATAATGCGATCGGTTTGCCGTTGGAAAGAATTTCTTCAGGCAAGTTGTGTGTGGAATACACACGTATTCAAATTGCCAAAACGACTGATAAAATAATAATTTTTTGCAACCTATTTTTATCTTGATTTTATTTGCAGCAGATGGAAAAGAGAACGAATATATGGGAGCAATTAACGCATGAAGCGTATTTACACTTGACTACTTCTGCTTTTGCTGCTGCCGTCACACACAATATTTGACATTTTTATCTACTCTATTTTCCTTTTCAGCTGTGTTTAATTTTCATTTCCTCTCTTAATTTACCAATTTCATTTATCAAAGCGCGCTATCACACGGAATATAGCACCGTGCGCATTCAGTATCGCGCGAGATTATGAATCACTAAAAAGACTACCTACTGTTTTTTTTTTCACGCTACTCGTTTGATCATTAGAGACAGGTACACAATTAATCCGCAATTGCTGTTCACACGTTTTTTTTTTTACTACACCGCGCTATTATCTAATTATTTATAATGATTATTTTTCACCAATTTTTTTTTTATTTTTCTTTTTCTAATTTTCGATACGAATGGAGCGCGAATACTGAATAATTTTCACTGCTTTCGGGTACACAATATTTTTTTTTGGTATAAACACATTCGCGCGTGCGATGAGAAAGAGAGCACAATTTAATTTTATGTTCACCGATTCGACTGCAAAACACTTCTATTGGTCTGTAGCTTCAATGGGGTTTTATTATTGTACACACAACACACGACTGTGTGTCTTTTTTTTTGTTTTTTTCTTTCTTTCTTTTTGTCTTCTTCTTACTGTTGTGTACTTTTTTGTTGTCGTTTGTTCTACCAGCGAAATTACGTTTTTTTTCGTTGCCGCAACGCAATTCACTCGTGTGCAGTGTTCATCTCTTTCTCACATGCCATTTGTTTGAATCGGGTGCTCGTAACACACATCTTTGCATTTTGTTTTGCGCTTTACGCTCGCTGAGCACGATGCGTTCCGCACGGATCGCAAATGAATACGATAGCTGAGAAAGCATGGCTGCAATAGTATGTGTTCAGAATACCATAACTCCGCAACCACACATCGTTTGCCGTTTGTTTGTGTTTGACTTTCAATTCGTACTTTTTATTGCGGCATATATAATCATTTTTTTATATCTTTTCTCGAAAAGAAATTCGCTGTCATCGCAAGCTTTCTATTGCTCGCTTTAAGCTTAGCAGTCGTTAAAAGTGAGGAAATACAATGTTCTCTCTTTTCATGTTTCTCATGTTCTTTAGTTGAAAAAAGTCTCAAATTCATTTCCATGGTAAATTTTATCTAATCTTAGATTACAATATATTAATACTTCTGATTGATATTGATTGCCTAGTTTGTACTGAAATGTCATAATGCGCTGAAGTTTCCAAATTTTTCTCGGTAGATGTAGCACTATATCAATTGCCGGATGAAGCATTCTCAATGCATTATTTTCGAAAACTATCTAAAAAAAATCACATTTTTACATCGGTTTCAAATAAGAGCATCGTTAACTGTAATGCGAAAGTTATTTAAAATTCAATAATCAAAACGTCAGCAATTTTATTATTTCGTAAGAGAATTCGTGACTAAAATCGAAATAAATTGATAACTTTCCATGTATCCCCTAGATTTGTTGTCATTTTTTTTTTCGAATATTTGAGAAGTAAAATTTAAACAACATTGATGTGCCGCCTGCCAAGGGCTCATCGAAACATATTCTAAATGTCCTTTGTGACGATTGCATTGAAGCAATTTTTCATTGAATACGCATTAAAGTAGACTTTCTAAATGCGTCCAGAGTATGCCAAAGATTTCTTCCGCTAGGATCGTAAATAACTGAAAATCTACGGCTTATTGTAATTTAACCAATTTTTATTATTTATTTAATAAAAATGTAACAAAAAAACATTGTTTTGTATTATTTTTTCAGAAATACACACCAAAGTGTGGTGGTTTACTCTTTGCTCGATAGTGGCTTTCATTTGATAATAATAACAAAAAAAAAATTCAAATATGTGCCAATAAAAAAAACGATAGTACGTTAATTCGAAAATGCAATTTCGAAATGCAAAAGGACTCAACGAAATTGAAATGGAAACAGCGCAGGCAACACCAAACGATGTGTCAGTTAATATGGCCGCAACCATTTGGCGCCCTCTGCTGCGATTGTTTTATCCAGACTCACTCATTCCATAGACGACCGTGTAGTGATTGACACACAATTCGTGCGACCAAAACCAACATAGCTAGAGCTAAATTCGTAGTAAAAAGTTTTTACATTCAATTTTAACAAGTTTCAAAGCAGAAAAATTCCAAACATGTCTGAAGATAAAAAAGTAAGTACACTTATTTTTTCATAAAAAAAACCGGTGAAATTCAGTTCGAAATTGTGTGGGTTTTTTGTGTCGATGACAATCGAAAAAAAGCCGTACGAACTGTGTTGTACAAAGTGCTTGTAAATTTTCCCAAGTCAACCGCGCCATGTTAACAAGCGTCATTTTATTGTAAATTACAACAAAAACTTAATGTATTCACATTTTTGAAACGCGATTGCTACATTTCATCTCAGAATATCAATTGAAATGAAAAATGTATTGTGTCGATAACAAACGAAAAAAAAACCGTTCGGTTTCTGTTATACAAAGTGTGCCCATACAATTGTATCAAACAACCGCGCCATATTAACTAGCGTCATTTCAATTTATTATGAAATACAACAAAAAAAAAACTACTATAACCACATTTTTAATACGGCGCATAAACATTCGAGAATTTTCCATGCTATCAATTGAAAAACGACATTTGTAATGAATAATTGTCGATAAAATGCCATTTTCAGTTTGAAATTAATTTTTTTCTTCTCTTTCGCTCTTGTGCATAGGACTCAAAGGGTGGTGAATCGGAACACATCAATTTGAAGGTGCTCGGTCAAGACAATGCTGTCGTCCAATTCAAAATCAAGAAGCACACACCGCTACGCAAGTTGATGAACGCATACTGCGATCGTGCTGTAAGTGTCTTTTTTTGCAATACAACTGTACATTTTCGTGAACAATTTTTTCTTGTTTGATCAACAAATCATAAGTTTTGGTTGGCATCAGTTTTGTTAGTGACACTTGTTTCTCATGTGAATTTGATGAAAAGAAAGATTCTAAATGGTTTCGAGATTCTAATAAGTTTTGTTCATGTTTTTTTCGGGTAGGGTTTATCCATGCAAGTGGTTCGTTTCCGTTTTGATGGACAGGCAATCAACGAAAACGACACGCCAACCAGTCTGGAAATGGAAGAAGGTGACACAATCGAAGTGTACCAACAACAAACCGGCGGAACACAATAGACTCGACTAAAGGGACAACAAATAATCATACATTTCATCATGAATTCCGCTGAATAATCTTTAATTAAAAAAAACTTCTCTAAAATTCTCACCAGATTCGTCGTAATAACTATCAAACAATAAACATTGTAGACATAAATCATAACCCTATATGGATTTTTATTCAAAAAAAGAAAAGAATTTGATTTGTAGCTGATAAAGTTGGAGAGCGGCATCGTGCATGATCTCATGGATTTTACGGTTTGAATCTTGTCATAACATGTCATAACATGTTAGTTCTTGAAAATACATCTTCCTTGACACATTTCAATTCTAAATCAGTGAACACGGTGGCATTGTAGCTTATTATCTTGTTTTCTATTTTTAGATGTTTTCAGATAATGTAAGTATCTTACGGAACTTTTCTGAGAAAGGATGTTTATGTAAGTATGAAAAAGTGTTCTTAAAAATCTAGAAACTTCGAGCTGTCAAAATAACCGAACAGCGTGCTCGTGATTGTTTGGCATCATCCAATGTAAATACCGTTCAGCGCATCAATAATAAACAAAACCAAGAAAATTGAAAAAGAACTGAATTGTTGAGACAGAAGTAAGCGCGATTCGATTCTGTTTTTCGCATTTGGTGAGTCGGTTGCTTAGTGCCGATATGCCAGTATTGTGTCCCTCCTATCATGTTAACTGTACCGCGATGACTGTACTTTATCGCATCCAGTATAAAAACAAAAAAGATATGTATCATGATGATTCTTTGCTTTATTTCATATCTTACTTAGATTTCATGTGGTATTTCAATAAATTATGGAGGACGCATGTTAATATTTGGTTAGTTAATAAATCGATTTATTGTTCCGCTTCTTATCAGCTGGTAACGAGACCGAAATTATTGTCTCCGTGTCCATTTTGGAAAATCAATCTCTGTATTTGTTCATTAAGTAAATTCATGTTTTTTGTTAAAATTCGTTTCATTTTCATAAGTATTTCTCTTTTTATTACAAATTGTTAATTGAATTATGTTATTATTCATAAATTGACTCTTGTGATTTATAGCTTATGCTTTGCATACAGCCGGTATGCCCATTAGCCGTAAAATATTTTTATTTAACATTATCTCTTGAAATTCGAACGTAAAATAGCATATTTAATCAAATTTATTCCGTAATGCAAATCGCATTAAAATTGATGAAAAAAAAACACATTTTAAAAAGTGACAATGAATGGCACTATAGCAGTAGCACAACGGTGATGGTAGCTCGTAATCGGGAACTTTATGCATCTGGCATATTGAGAACTTCTTCAACGAATCCGGCCACATCAGTGTCCTTGTTCATGTGCTCAACAAGAAAGGCATGCTGCAATAGCTGCTCATAGTTGGGTCGATCCGTGTACTTCTTCTGCAGACATGCTGAAATGAAATTTTCAAATGCCGGCGAAAATTTTCCGGATTCTAATCGAGGTGGATCATCCTTCACAACCTAAACGAACAAGAGAACATGGATAAATCTGTCAGTGATGCATTGTTCGGATAGTGTACCTGTTTCAATTGTTCAAACGGCGTTCCCCATGAGTTGTACGGAAACTTTCCGGTTGCCATTTCTACCATGCTTATTCCTAACGACCAAACATCTGATCGAATGTCGTACTGTCCAGGATTTCCTAATTTGAATAAAACGATAAAATGTTGACATTCAAATAGATTCGGTTTGATGTGCGAAGAAAACTCACCTGTTGGATCAATGCGTTCTGGTGCCATGTACGCTACAAATTCAAATAGAATTATTCGATTAGTATAAATTCGAATTCCGTTACTAATTTGTGTCTATGCTTACGTTTGCATCCAGCATCAATTGTTTTTGCTACCGAATCCACCAAATAACCTGATATTCCAAAATCGCACATTTTTACCTCACCTTTTCGATTGATGAGAATGTTTGACGGTTTTACATCTCGATGAATGACTTTCAAATTTGCATGTAAATAGTAGAGTGCATTCACAACAGCTACGGCAACCTGAACACATAATTAATATAAAAAAAATATTAAACTCTTCCTTGTATGAAAATCGAATACGAATTCGGCATACCTTTCCTAAAATGTCTTCGCTTATGATTTGATCATTCTTGTAGACTTTTGGATAGAATTTATCTAAACTAGTATCCATGACTTCCATACAAATCCAAACGTCTCCCTCTCGAAATAATGCTCCGTAGAAATGTACCGTGTATAGACAATCAGACGATCGCATCGAAATATCTAAATCCATCAACAATCGTTTCTGGCAACGAAAAAACAAAACATCATCAAAATCCATATTCAATTTCTTAATAGTACGCTTTACCTGTTCTTGGGTGTTCACTGTGGCGGTAATTCGTTTAACAGCCATCACTGTGTTTGTTTGTCGATGTCGCATCTTCTCGACAATTCCGTAAGCACCATGGCCCAAATCACATATCTTTTCCAAATCATCGGCTTCAACAATAAACGTTCGATCGTCAATTGTAATAGTTGTTCGCTTATCTAAATTATGTGGGGCACTATCCAAATCATTCTAATTAATAATCAAATGCAAAACAAATAAACAAAATCTCATTGTAAATATTTACGTGGATGGTGGTGGAAGTGAACTTTCGTTCACTTGTATTTTGAGGTTAGGTCTGCGACGATTCATTTTCTGTCCTGTTTTATTCTGATTGATTTAAATTTATGTTGGACGAATCTGTCTGCCGCTCTATCTATCTCTTTCGGTTGCTTTGATTATATATTTTGGAGTTCACTGCAATCAAAATAATAGAAATCCAAACAATTAGTGTCCGAGATGCAAATAAAATTGATTGAAATTATATCTTATTTGTACACAGATCGATGGTATTGATAAAAAAATCAAATCGATGTTTACTAGGATCTTTATCAACTGATATTTTGGACAATATTTTGGGTCAATTTCCTCGGTTGCGATAATCATTGAAATGAATTGTTGATTAAATTGTTTAAAATTGCGATACGTAATAGAAAGAATCAGGTTGTTCCGTTATTACTATCTATCTATGGAAAATAGTAAACGATGCGTTTTTAAATTAAAATGAACATTTTGAAGCATCACTTGACACAATAACCATTTTTTTGACAACAAAATCTCACTTTCACTTCACAATTAAATCGGAGACAATTAAAAATAATCAGCGAGACATTTGTTGTTGAAGATTCTAACTAAAACTCAATGACAACCTTTTAAAACAGTATCCGCATCTTTCTGTGTGACTCTCCTAGTAAATTACTTGAGTTTTTTTTTTCGTGCAAAAATTTCTCTCTATCTTTTTTCTCTGCAGACAGAAGGCACTTACATATATTAGCAGTTGGAGATATTTTTTTTTTACTTTGGTGTGTGACAGCTCACAAATACAATAAATACAAAATGTTTGTTATATTGGTTAGTGTATGCGTCCAGTGTTTGATTTTTACCCGGCTTTATTGGTGATACGATAGCAACACACTCATACACTCATGCACTTATTGATGTGTGTGCGCTGACACAAACCTACACAAATTGTTGCCGTTGTTCACAAAAAACCATTGAAAGTGGCATATCTAATCAGAAAACGAGTTGAAAGTCGTTCAGAACAAATAAAGAAAGATTGACAGTTTGTTCAGCTAACAAACAATCTCAAATGCATAAACTATAGCAAATGACATTTTATCGCTACATATTCAAAATTGAATTGAATGGTACATGTCCAGAGGCCACAGGCTTGGTATGTATTGTTTGTTTTTTATCTCGAATAAATTGTAATTGTTGAAACTGAACAAATGATACAAAATGTATACTGACGGATCTACAAAATACAACATCGAAAATAAATCAAATACAAAAGATAATCGAAAAAATGAGAACGTTGAACGTTATAAGGTTTTCTTTTATCATTTTTACTATATGATTTGTGGGGTTTTCCTTTCGCTTTGGAGACTTGCTAATTTGTTGTTGTTTTTTCATACATTCGTGTCAATGTGTTTGAAGTTTTCTTTGTTGATTTGTTGTCAAAACAATCGATCCTCTTGTCTTCGACAGTAAAAATAATTCTCCAATATATTCATTTGATCTCTTTTTATCAATTCGCTGTGTCTCTCATATTCACAATTTTTTATTGATGTGATTTCATAATTTGTATATTTCATATTTTTTCCATATCAAATCGTGTGCATTCGGTACGGGAGATTATTTATGTGCGCGTGACAGTACCAACCATATTCAACCTCAGTGTGCCTATATAATCAGTGAATTGACTGACGAGAGTGTTAGTCATATTTCGACCGTTGATAATGACGCATTAACTGTCTCACAGTATATAGAACATTTTTCTAGCATTTTTTCTTGCACTTTTTTTTTTGTGTGTGAAATTGATTGATAGAAAATCTCTCTGAGATTTTGAGCCATCAACTAAAAGTGACAATCAACCAACCTTGTATTGTTTGATTATTTGTAATTTTGTTTGTATTTACAGTAGCAGTGACAACTACAACGACAACATCGTTCACAAATCAATTTTTTTGCGGATTGGGTTATCGTGTGTTTAAGGCTGAAACGAAGGATCATTTTGTGAGGGAGAAAAAAACTGCTGACTCAATTCGAAAGTCAGAATAACGAAACGCGCAGAGTAATCATCATCGATCGAGTGACGAGTGTGACGGAGTGTGAGAGAGGAAGTATTTAGAACATATAAAACCGAAACGACTACGGTGAACCTCGAAACGCACTGAGAAATCGACCAAATCGAAATCGTTTTCAAATTGTAAAAATACATTGATTGTGCATGTGTTGTATATTGGCAACGGCCGCAACAATTTCATACAGAAAGGAGTTCCTATTTATTGAACAGAAAAACCGTTCGAAGATTTGACGAAGTCAAGTAGCTGAACCAGAAGGAAAGAAAACAATTATTACCATACATCAAATCACATTTTTCTGGCAAGTTTTCCTTTTATTTTTAAATCCACTCGCCAAATTTAATTTATATCCGATTTTATTTTCATATTCGGTTGTAACTAAGACAAGTCGGGTGGAGATCATTTTTCATTCATTTGCGTAATAAATGTATATATGTTGACGTTTATATGAAAATATCCGAATGTGTGAGACAAAGAGAGCGAGAGAAAGAAAAAGAGACTGGTTCGAGAAGTTTTTGTTGTTGTTGTTGTAAATTCATGTTTGTGTGCGTGCATGTTTGTTTATGTATGTGCTTGTATGTATTTTTTTTATTTTCATACGGTAAACACTCGTTTTGTTAAATGTGCGATTGTTTCGTGTGCGATGATAGATGCCAAAATTCTTTTTTTAATGAAACGAATTCAGAAATGAAACAAACCTCAACGCGCAAAACACGTGAGAATAAAATTAAATACACACAGCGCATAAAAATCAAAGTGCGAGTGTGCGCGTCTAATTTTGATCTATTGAAAGAAATATATACACTAAATCCGAACTTTGCCAAACCGTTGTGCCATAGCAATACCGAATTTCGTGCAAAATTTCAATTAATATAGAAAATAAAAGGAAGGAGAAAGAGTAAATGCCATGAATTTAATATGCGTATGGCCACTCCGTGTACAACTCTCACATATTCTATACATAGATTGGTGGCACACTATTTTATATATATACATGTATATGTGCTGTTGTTGATGAATTTTATTGCGTTAATTGATTTTTTGCCTCTGTTCACAAACAATAGTGCCTGTTTGGTTCGGTGTTTGTTTCTTTATGAAATTGATTTAGCAAACAAAGATAATCCAGTAAATCCAAGGAATTGTTTTCTTTTTTCCTCCCCTCGAAACAAACGAAATCCCATTCCACTTTTAATCCTATCAAATTTTACGGCACGCGCTATCACAATTCTGATTCTGTTGTTTACCCAAGCGATTGACTTTCGTCTAATGGTGAAAATAAAATTTCAAGAAAAATTGTCATTTCTAGGCAATTAACAACAATCGATCTATAGACAATTCCACACACTCGTTCAGCTATATGATTTATTTATTTTTTTTATGATGAAGTCGACTTTAACCCATGTTCCTTATTCTTCTCTGACATGCAGCCCATTTGTTGACTTCAGTGCTGTGCATTTTATAAATGAAACAAGTAAGAGACATTTTATCTAACATCCGTGTTGTATTGCTCGGTTTTTTAATTGTTATCTCTGATCGACGCCAAATAAAAATAAAAAGTCAAAAACCGTATGGTTTGCTTGACGAGCAGAAGCAATACAAGCAGTCGCCTTTGTACGATTCGTTATATCTGCCGATATTTTATTGTTGCTTTTCGCATGATTACACTGTCGCTCATGCCATAGAGTACACATCGTATATTGTTGTGTGTACAGCTATGCCGCAATCACTCAATGTATAATAATTCTTCCATAATCTCTGTTTTTCTTCTCTTTCTCTCCCACTCTCTATCTCACTCTCAGTCGGCACATATGTATTTGTGTGGTGTTTGCCTGATACTGAGAGATACAGACAGACAGAAACTCTCTTCGAATTTTAACAAATGTGGACATACGTACACGCTCTTTCTTTCAAACACTATAATAATCATAATATAGAGTATTTATAGTTAATTTGCACTTACACTGACATACCGCACATATGTTCATAATGCCGATACCAACCAAACGACCGACCGACCAACTCAAAATCTTTCTCATACCTATTTTTATAAATGAACGTCACAAACACGAATTCGGTTACTGCTCTTCAATATATATACGTAAATATGTGTACAGAGTGTGTGATTTGTATGATCGAATAGTAGCGGCGTTGTGTGCGGTTTTAATATTACACATTTTTTCATGATTGCTTCTGTCGTCGTAGTCGTCGCCGTTCTTTCATTTCTTTCATAAAAATTTTTTTCTTTACATTTCGGTTGTGATCGTCAGTCGTAGCTGAATCGTCTGAATCGTCAGTCACAAAGTGAGAATTAAAAAGTGACAATTTTATTTTATTTTCATTGAAATTATCATTTCTTTTGTTCTTCAACCTTCAACAATACTGTTTTGATTAGCATCAAATATAATTCAATTATTTTGCAAATTCGTTGAAATTAAATCACATTTTTTTGGATTTTTTTTTTATCTGTGTTTACTGCTTACTAATCGTTCCCACTGTGTCCGGTGATAAACATAATTTTTGTACTCATAAATTGTGTGTGATTCATTTGTTGTGCAGTTGTGTGTGAGCTCGTGATTTTCTGATCATCTGGTTTTTGTACGTTTTCAGTTTCATACTTCGTTTTTAATTTTGTTTACTTCATAACAAGTAAGTGAATATTAAAAAAAAAATTTGATTAACGCACAGACAAATTAAAAAGAGGCCAAAATATCTGCGATCATAAAAAAATTGCAGTGGAAAATTTTCGGTGTTAAACATATCTCGAAGTCATATATGAAATAAACAAAAAAAAATCTTAACTTGGGTGACTTGCAGCAAAATTCGGAAATTTTCGGCTTTTAGTCAATTCATACAAAATGTCATTTTCTGTGTGAACACTCTTTGGTTACACACTCACTTCCGCACTTTTCAAACCCATTGATATGAAGCTATATGTGCTGTTGCTGATTTAATTCGTCTTTTTTAAATCGTCATTTTCAGCCTTTGTTTGCATATATACCTTTTTACGCATGTCAATGTATGTGGGTATATGAATTCAAAAAATGATTTCGTGACTATATGTTTGTTTGTGAGTTTCTGGATTGAACCTGCTCGAATAATATGGGTCAGGAACATTCAATACTCAATTAACCTTCATTTTGAGCGAAACGCGTCTGATTTCGATTCTGACAAAACTCTAACTTGTTCTTAAGTTGTGAGCGCTCTTCTTCAATTCTAATTACATCATTGTTTCATCTTCAGGTTTCCTCAAATAATTTTTTTTCTTTCACTTTTTGTTTCGTATTGCGAATGTGTGTGAGTTTGCATAAATGAAATACAGTATATATTCGGCCGAAGTTGCGTGATGACTAATATATAAAAATGACTTATATTTACGCAAAGAGAAAAAAATAAAGAAGAAGCAGAAGAAAAAGAACGTGTCGCATGCTAAATTTCATACGTAGCTAAAAATAATCATTAAGCAAAAGACAAGCCACTGAAAAAAAAGTCGGATAAAAAACGCTAGAAAACACTGCCAAATGTGTTGAGCAGTAGAGAATGCGAATACACACACGCAGAGCAAATAAAACGCTCAACGGCCAACGAATGACGGCAAGTGCGCGGTCAGAACCAAGGAGTTTTGGTTTTTTCCACATTAAAAAAAAAAAATCCGGTGCTTTTGATGTTTATAGTCACGGCTTCATATATCCGACCTAAGAAACAGTAAACATTATTGCGATTTTAACTTATTTTTTTTGTTTTGTTCATTGAATCGATGAATTATGATTTCCTCACGTGAATGAGCGAATCCAGTTGTGCAAACGAGCAAATGAATCAAAACACAAACATCAAATTGTAACTCTTGGTGTGATTCAATTTCTCAAAGTCTGAATATTTGTGCGTCAAACGATCAACAAGTTTACCTCGAAAACCGTAATTTTTGCGATAATGTAAACAAAATGTATATGTGCATATGTCACATATTTTATACCTACCTCAAGCCAAGAACACATATGTTTATGCTCTTGGAGATTATGACAATGAGACGTATAATTTTATGTTGTTTTATTACAAAGAAGCATTTATGATGAGAGTTTCAATTGAATATTCGAAAAAAGATCGGAATATGACAACAGTCGCATCACAAGTCATGACGAACAAGCAAAAAACCACCCAGCGTGAATTATTCAATTAGTATTTATTGTTGTTTGTTTTCGGTTATCATCGGTTAGTCATCGAAAATTTACTTTATTCCATAGTAACATAAATAGCATACATATACATAAAATGATGCGTTGTCAATTCCATACTTGAATAATTGCATATTTTGACTCTGGAATTTGTGCTTCTTCTTATTCTTATTTTTTGTTATTTTTGACGGAATAACATTTATTTTCCTTATTCTTAAGCCTGAAGCCCCAAATGTTTTCAGTTCATTTTACTGAAAACAATGTCATCTTTAAATTAACAAAAGCTCATTTCTCTTCTTTGATTTCTTGGCTACTTACAGACGAAAAACAACTAAATCAGACTACCACAAAGAATGGTTAAAGGTAAAAAGCGTAATAAAGAAGTCGAGTTCGAAACTGGATTGAAAGGACGCTCTGGCCGCGTTGTCGTTGCGGCTATTCTAATGTAAGTAGAAAAAAAATGTAATTTCCTATTTATATTTTAATTCATAATAGATTCCAATCATTGTTGATGTTTTATGATTTTTCTTTTCAAAAACTTTGAACGAACAAAAGAAAAAACGAAAGAAAGCTTTGCTTTTCATGTGAAATCGATAAAAATAACTCTCGATCTATAGAATAGAGAATGTAGTTATAACTAATTAATTTTAATTGATGCTGTTTCAATTTGAATGCTCTCATGTTGGGCGGTAAAGAGCGGAAAAGAGTGTCAGTAGCAGCAACAAATAAAATCATATGTGAATCGCCCCAATTAAAATTTGCACGAAATCAAACTTTTGTTAATCGATCAATCAATCAAAATCATCATATCTGTAATATAAGTGGACACCATACACTTTCTCAATTCTACCATCAATCTATATCTATAGTGTTTTTTTTTTTTGTTGCGTACGAATTTCATTTTGCAATTATTTTTCAATCCTTCTCTTCTTTTGACATTTAATTTCAGTAATTCTACCATATTCATCCTAAAAATTATAGTATGGATTTTCACACATTCGCACAGTATGTTCGCCGAAAGTATACATTCGGCGGCAGATACTGTCAATCAAATTATCTTGGCGTTCGGATTATACAAGTCGGCTAAGGTGAGTATCATTTTATACATGCAAATTGAATTGAGCTTGGAAAAGAAGCTTATTTACCACGCTCATTTGATTATCATATCGCTCGAACCTTATCGGATTCGATGAGAGATAATCACTGAAAATGCGAGATATACCTGCTCTATCTCTATCTCTCTCTCTCTCTCTCTCTCTCTCTCTCTCTCTCTGCTTTACACATACATTTTATATGTGTCATGTGCATTCGAGACCTATTTAATTGAATCAATCTCATGAAATTAGAACGGTCGGTCATTTCATTTCATTTGTTTTTTAATTTTCGATTTCTGCTATTTTACATAGAATCCAAACATTAAACATCCTTATGGTTATGCGAACATGAAATATATTTCATCGCTGATATCGGGTGTTGCAATATTTTGCGTTGGTACTGGATTTTCATTCTACCACGGAATTGATGGATTGTCGAATACAGATGAAAAAGCTAAGAAGAAACAATCGGAGTTCATATGGGCATACATAGTATTGGGCGGATCGTTTTGTTTCGAAAGTGTCACATTGATGATGGCCATTATAAGCATACGAAAATCCGCTAAGCAAGCAAACCAATCGTTTATATCGTACGTAGCCTCAGGTGCCGATCCGTGTGTAAACGTTGTGCTATTTGAGGATTCGGCTGCTGTGGCCGGTGCAGGGGTTGCTGCGGTTTGCATCGGTTTAACAGCCTATCTTAAGTCAAGCATTCCTGATGCAATTGGATCGCTGTTGGTCGGTGTTATGTTGGGAGCTGTTGCTATATTGGTCGTTTATACTTCTGTGCCAGCTCTGGTTGGTCGCTCAATCAAACTTGATCAATTGGACAAAATCAATCAAGAGTTGGAAAGTGATGCAATGATCAAGGCCATTCATGATGTCAAAGGTATCGACATGGGCAATTCAATGATACGTTATAAGGCTGAAATTGATTTTAACGGACGTGAACTGACTCGCAAATATTTGGAGGAACATGATATTCGCAAATTATGGGAGGTGAGTGTCTATGTTCGAATATCTTTATTTACTTTTATTAAACAATTAGTGTTTGACCTACAAAATACCTTAATCGAATCAAATGCCATTCATGCAAAAAGTTTCAAATCAACGAATGCACGAAATATAACAACATGTGCAAACTAATTTAAATATCAAAAAACATTTTTGGATACAGTGAATAACTTTTTTTGTTTCTTAATTGCCATTATCATTTCAGGAGGTTAAAGGCTTCCATAGTATAGACCAATTGAATGAGTTTATGTTACGCCACGGTGAAAAGATTGTCGATATTATGGGTGATGAAATCGATCGTATTGAAATGAACTTATCGGTAAGTAAACACATACTTTACACACCTTTTCTAAATTTGGTGCAGTTGACAAGGTGATGGCAAGCATATCATTACAATAATCAACAATTAAAAAAACAAAGGGTTTTCATGTTGAAAATACCGAAAATTAATCTTCATTCTATTCACAAACACAACACTAATAAATTGCTTCCGGTTTCAATTTTTTTCTTCCATTCAACAGAAAAAGTTCCCAAAAGTTCGTCACATCGATTTGGAATTAGAGTAAAAAAAAGTACAAAGAGTATATTTTTTGTTTTTTTTTTTCTGCACGTGAGCAAAACTGTTTGAAATTTTGCTCGGTCGTCGGGTGTTGAATATTTTACACACATACGATGACTTTACTTATTCAACAGTTACACGATAAATTATATTTTTATTATTATTCATTATGATTATCATATATATGAACATATATATATATATATATACTTTTTTAATTGATGAAATGACCTCAATATATCTCAAAGAAAATGTCACATAGACAACGTAACAAACAAACACAACAACATATTTTATTCAAACAAACAAACATATATGAAACAACAGAAAAAAAATCGAATGTTTTAGAAAATATTAGTGATTTTTTTTAAATCGTCATTATATTATAACATGAAATATATCGAAAAGAGAAGTGCTTTATATATGGCCTTACAAACTTAATAAAAAAACAAAACAAGCATTTTAAATCGTCGAAAAAAGAGTTCTAAATTGATTTAATTTACTTTATATCATAGAACGAGATCCGTAGTGGGTCTCAAATCGCATATATGATTCGATCACATCAAAAGTATCAAGAGATTCAAATGTTTTCCGTTTCAAAATATATATATATTTAATATTTTTTTATTGACAGTTAATACATGTGCTCTTTTGTTACTTAAAAACATAGTCCCTTCCAAACTTATTCTCTTTTTTTTGTGAAATTTCAACAGAGGCCCCTTGATTCTTATCCATAGAATTGATCACGATCAAAATTCAAAGAAACGGCCACATTCTTTTCTCTTCAAAAACATATGTACTGACATATTTTGTGGATTATGCTTAGGTAGTTAATAAAAAAAAAAATGTCATGCAAATCTTTTCTATGTTCTGTTATTAGTTTTGTGAGTTTTTCTTATTATTTTTTTAAAATGAAAATCAGAGTTAGATTTTTTTTGTTATTATTTGTATTTGGTGATAGTTTTAAGCGGACTTAATATATATTGCGACAATTTATTAAAAGAAACAGAAAATTATGTTAAAGTTAAAAGTCAATGTCGTCATTAATACATACATATATATATTTAGTCACACAAACACAATCTAATCCGAAAATAATTATCAATGTCAAAAAAACGCCAGAGAAAATTTGAGAAAGAACAAGAATTCATGCATGTGTAACATCAACATGAAAATGTATATGTGCGCAGCGAACCAGCCGAGGGAGTGAAGAGAGGAAGCAACTTGATTTATCAAAGGCAACTTTGTGATATGCAAAATGCGAAAAAAAAAAAACATGAAATTGAAAGAAACAAAGTAAATTACATATGAAAGAAGAAGATAAAATAAGTATATGCTGCAAAAGTTAGCGCGAACAGAATATGAAGTAGTTTTTTTTAAGTTTTCAAACTGTACACGACTATGTGATGACACCACAGAGATCGCCAGTCCAAAAACTAAATATTAACGAGAAATATAATAGAATAATAATTAGAGAAGAAAATATATTAAAAAACTGTTTAGTACTTAGCAAAAATATAGCCATTAACGCATTATTCAATATTTCCAAAACCAATCAATAATAAATAAATAAAATCCAAGCAGATATATTTGTATCATGCAAACCGCATATCTTGGGCATTTTTTTTCTCGCATTTTAAATGGTCATTAACAATTAGGTTCTGACTTGTTGAAACGAACACAAACCAAATTTGCGGCAGTTGCAAACAGCCGCTTTGATCGCATCACGAGACACCAATGAATGTGGATAATCACGGTCGGTCTATTTAAAAACTAATAGAGCTCTCATTTATTATGCTCGAAGTCGGTAAGTATTTCCAATTGCAGATTTACAAATTCCGTGTTGAATGTAAACAATGAGGAACTGATGGCATGAAATCCATATATAAAAATACTTATGCAATAAAAGTTCAAATCGATCGAATTCGAATGAAAGAATCATAGGAAACAAACTAAACGTAGCTGAAGGTCAATACCGTATAACTAAATATGTATGGTTCGAGTAAAGTAAATATGATGTCAACATATCGCGCCAAAGAACATATAAACTACATGAAAGTATTCATCGAAATGCACATATTTATTGTATTTTTTTTATTGAATGTGCAAAATGCACCAAATTGATTTCAAATCAAGGCTGTTCGACATACTGCAAATGGAAAAAATGATGCGTTAGCGAAAAGAGCAATGTAGCAATGATGAAGCATAGGTCGCTTGTGTTTCATATTCGGGGAGTTTTTATTTTGCTTTTATTTATCTCGTGCACACAACATTCGTTATGGAACCATCCGAGTCAATAGCTGTGTGTATATTAAATATTGCTTATGTGATCAAACTTGGATGATAAACAAATATTAATATTCAGTGCTCTTAGATTCTGAATCAAGTGATTTGTATGGTCATGCATGTATATGCTGAACGGTTGTGTGATTGTCGCACAATTGGCTTGTTACCAAATAAATAAACAAACAATGTCGCATTTTCAAATCGCACATTCGATGATTTCATTCAAAAGAAAGAACAACTGAGCGAAAAATGCCATTACTCATTGTTTTCATCAATGATGAAAAAACAAAATGATCAATTTTAATTGAAGCAAAATGAATAACTGGTTGAAATGGAGCAAACGAGTTTTGTATCGAAAATATAAATATATCTGATTGAATTTCGATTGGCGAGAGTAAAAGAGACAAAGAACGAAAAGAAATCGGTTTGTATTAATATTTATGGGAATTTTGATTAAGTAATTGAACTATTATGAATCCAATTAGCAACTGTCTACTGTGTGGCAGAGTCCTCATGCAACAAAGTGATAGTTCTGATTCCAGTTAAAATCGATGATTTTAAATCATAAAATATCAATACATTTAATCGGTTTGAAAAATAGCTACTTTGTTGCTGCTAATTCAATTAGTAGTTGACAAATTATTCTGCGTGTACTTGTTTGTTCATAGTGCAAAGATTGAAATTCAAGCTACCAAATTCATTTACTGAAACTAAAATAGGTGTTATGTATGTGAATCGCCGAGAGCGGCCTCTCCATAATATGGTCTGTATTTTTTTTAACTTGCCTTGACTCTTGAAAAACCACAACATGGGAAAAATGAGACGCCAACAAAACAAACATGGTGTAATGAATTATGGTATTTCGATGCCGGTTATGTGTCATCGTTTGTGCCATGCCGAACCAATTTTACAAATAACATTAAGTATATCGGGTTAAAATGCTGATCACTGCAAAATCACATAAAAATAACAACAATGGAAATGTATGTGTACAAAAAAATCGTTCAGTTTATTTATGTCTTATGTTCCGAAGTGCAATGCGCACAACAATTCGATAAACACTAAAAATCAGTGTGAGAATAAATTGAGCCGTTGTCAGCTGAAATTACGATATTATCACACTATTTATATGTGCTGCCTTCATTTATCAGCCTTCACTCGTCAAATTCTGAATATTGTTAAGGAAAAAAACAAAAGTGATATCCTGCGAAATTCAATTGAGAAAACAGAAAAGCCGAGACATGGAAAAATCCATGATAAACAAACAAAATACGAATTACTTAATATAAACTTTTCTTCAAACATCATCACATTCTTTCAGCGTTGATATAATAATGTATACATATCCAAGTTTCAGGTTTCTTTTGCACTTATGCGAGTTTATTTAATCAACATCATTTTTTTCCCCTCAAAATAAACACTATAGTGTATACATTATAATATTTTACTAAATTTAATTCAGAAATTCAAGATTAAATATTTTTAAATCATAGATCGATTTTCTTGTCAAATGCTCTGCGAGTGGTCGTTGCTTCCAGCGCTTTTTGTTTTTTGTATTCCTGTGTTCTTGACCAATCCAAATAGATGGAACCAAATGCAATAGTTGGAATTATCGATACTGGTGCATAGGCTCTCAAAACCCTAAAAATCTTCTTCGCTGGTGGCATTGTTGATAAACCTGTAGAAATAAAAGGTCTAACATTAAAAACAAGAATGACATGGAAATCAATTGTATGCAAAATTTAAAAATATATTCGATGAATCAACTGTCTGAGCCACCAAAAAAAATCACATAAGAATAATACGAAATATACATGACGTACAGATTATTAAATTTCACTCAAAAATAGATTTCATAGCAAAGTTCAGTAAAAATACGACATGAAGCGTATTTTCGAATATATGATAAATAATGATTGAAGCGAAAAGTGTGTAGTCAACAGTGTGAGGGAGTATTTGAAAAAAAGGAGGGAAGAAGAAGCGAGATGGCGTGAAAAAAACAGCAAACCTTTCAATACAAATATATTTATAGAATAGTGTTTTTTTTACTTTGTCTCTAAACTGAACGATCATACGTAGGACGAAAAACATGATACGTGTACGTGCAAATGTTATTATAATCTAATTTAAAGAGTTTTAGAGAGAGATACTTCTGAAAATTACTTGAAAAAGCCGGTGCATTCTAGTTTACATTAGCACATGAGATTTGTTTGTGAACGACGGCGCTACTTGAATAAAATAGAAAATGAGCTGTGCAATACAAAGTACTATTGGCTGTTTTCATATAAACGTCATACAATTCAGCCGCACATCATAGAAAATAGACGACTGCACACCGCAATCTTGGCAAACACACCAATTGTATGAATCACATTATTTCTGGTTGTGATGCAAATGAACTGTATGCAATTCATTTAATGACGTAAATAAGAAAACCAATTAACACTTTGTGAAATTAACTTGTACTTTTCGATTCTTGGCAAATACTATTTCGCAATTATGTTCAATGGTGGAACCGCAATTTATTTGCCAATCAATCGACCGAATTGTTTTGTGTTCATGTGCGAAACAGATATACATCAGGATGAATCTTGAAGAAATCGGAACTGACCTCAACAATTAAGCAACTTAAATATTGTATGACGAGCAAACGTAATTGATGGTCCCAAATTAATTAAACGGTGATTGATTTATGTTGTTAAGGACACAAATCAAATGTTTTCATTTTCTTCAAGTTAAAAAAAACTTACCACAGAAGAAAACAACACAAAGTGAAATGAAATTTATATTTTTTCTTTGGAAAAATCCACAATTGTGAAAATATTACAATTGAATGAGGTTATGTCATGGAAATTGTTCGAAATTTGACAGATAGTGACAGTAGGCGAATTCGCATCTGGCCGTCACATTATTTACGGCAATCTATACGAAACGAAACGAAAAAGAAGATAGAAAACTCACAGTTGACACAGAACATTCTAAAAAAAATTAACTTAGGCGGTGGGTTGTCAAAATCGGCTTGCAAAATTATTTTTTTTTCACAAAGTCTAAACTGATTATTGTGTCTAGTAATTAAGTTACCTGCGTAAAATTCAAAGAAATAAAAGACGTTTCTCGGAGGAAAAGACACATAAACGACGAATAAATAAAAATAATGGCGTTGAATCCACAATATGAAGACATTGGCAAAGGATTTGTGCAACAATATTACGCATTGTTTGATGATCCAAATCAGCGTCCAAATTTGGTACATCTTTTCAATGTAAGTAAAAATTGGCAAATCATTTAGTTTCTGTATTTTTCATTTAATTTCATTTTCATCTAAATATTGGATAAAAAATAGTTCGTACAACTCATGCAAAACACTCGGCAGCTTTCCCATTTTCGATTTGAATAAAAGTGTTCTAACTTAACCTCAATTCAGTGGAACGATGAGTAATCATTTGAATTTGATGTCATTTGTTTATAGCAAAAGAAGACAATATTGTAACATTTGGTTTTTATCGTATTCTTTTTACAAATCTTATCTTTTTTTACAGGCTGAACAATCATTCATGACTTTTGAGGGGGCACAATTACAAGGATCCGCGAAAATTGGTGAAAAGTTATCAGTGAGTGTTTTTGAGTTCCTTTTCTTGTATTTTTTTTTTTTTTCATTTTTATGTAATAGCTGCTTTGTCAAGCACATTTAAATGACAATTGCAAGTTTTTTTCATTTAATTCTTGTTTTGCAGTCATTAGCCTTCCAGAAAATAAGTAGAGCCATTACAGCAATCGATTCGCAGCCAACGTTCGACGGCGGTGTTTTGATCAACGTCCTAGGTAGATTACAAGTAAGTATGGTGGCCACGCAGATAGTGTACTTTTTTAGTTAATAAAAATTATTTAGTATTGACTTGAGGAGTACAAATTTAGTGGATAGCATCTACCCGATGCGATTGATATTTAAACTTCCTGAAAGTGACAAAAAAACTACTGTGAAATTTCAATATCAATCACATCGTAATTTAAGTGCTATCTCCAGATAATTGTTTGCTCTTTAAATTAATACTAATTAATCAATAAATGATTTTAGATTTTGTTTTTAAGTTCAAAATTCCAATTTCGATTTTGGAAGTTTTTCGAACATTCTCGAAAGCTGTACAATGACAAATTTTATTAAATATTGTTTTCACTTTTCTTTTGTTCATTTGCAATGTATTTGGTGCTGTCGTCGTTTTGATGTTGTCGTGGGGGAAAAACGTTCGACATACGTACACGTACACGCACATCACAGACAGATGAAGATTTACCACACGCATTTACACAAACCTTTTATTTAAAGCCAATAGGAACGAGTTTTTTTATACTTCATGATATTTTTCGACTGGTTCTTCACGATCAAGCCTAGTTTCCGAATGAAAACCAAAAAAAAAAAACACAATGTTCTTCATTTTTCTTCAATTTTGGGTTTTTAGTTATTTTAATTTTTTTGTTATCTTCGTCCGATTTATCTTCGTTGTCTCTGTAAAATCGGTAAATTTGATTTGATTTCATACTCTCTGATTTTTAACTTATCTTGATTGATTTAACAAACTTTTTGTCATTTTCCAAAAAAATTGTCTCACTTTAACCGTTCATTTAACTAAAAATTAATCAACTGATATCAATCATCAAAACTGAAATTTAAATTGGCATTCACCAAATAACAGAACAAAACAAAAAATTCCACATTCCATATCGTTTCTAAACTAATTATAATAATCATTTTCTTCTAGCTTGATGCTCAATTTTTTAATCGATTTTGTCTGTGACTTTTTAAAATTTCAGTGTGATGACGATCCACCACATGCATACACACAAACATTCTTGCTGAAGCCATTGGGAGCATCGTTTTTCGTTCAACACGACATTTTCCGCTTGGCCATTCATGACTCTGCCTAATGGATAAATATCAACATATACTGTTCAACCCGGTATTGACATTTATTCATCAACACAATCGAATGATAACCAATAATCCGGTCGGCCTCAACAATACACACTCAAATTAATTAAGAATGCAATTTTGTTTTGTTCTCTTGTGTTGCATGATACATTTTAATGGAAAAACGATATTTTTGTAAAAATTCATTTTACTTCGCTGCAAAGAAAGTTCACCACAAAACATCTAAAAATGTATCGAACACAAATTAAAAATAAAATCAATAATAAAATGTAGCAGTTTACTTGTATATACTTTTTATTGGGGACTTAATGACATGGATTAGTCTATGAATAACTTAAATGAATAATAAAAAAGTGAGATTTAGTCATCATCTGGAATTTGAGAGTCCTCCACAATTCTTTGTGAGGGCACGTATACCTTGAATGTAAACTTTGACTTTGGAAACGATCCCTGAAAGAGACAGAAATGTATAAAAGTCGCGTGGAAGTGTAAACAATCATCACTTACCGTATTGACAACAGTGCATCCATGATGTTGAATTTCGAATGGTTTGCTTGGATCGCCGACGACAATTAAATCGGGCAGTGGATAAAGTGCCAGCGAAGCATCCATATTCCAATAAATTGGCATTGTATTTTGACTGAGCGGTGTTAATGTTCCTTGACAAATGAGAGTGCGCGCAAAATGATCCTCAAGTTTGCCCGTTTCCGGAAAATTGATTGTATTTCGACATAATTTCGTAACCAAGTCAGCGCGACAGACAACAATTTGTTGTGTACAATACTGTAATCGACATGGATTTGATGCTAAAATCGTTCGCGGAACTAATCGTTTCAAGCCAGCGCATAAGCTTTCGGGCATACCAATTCGTGGCAAAATAACCGGTGCAATTGGATCATCAGGCGCTGGAACAATCACAAGATCGGTCTCTTTCTTTAGTGTCGGACAATTATTTGAAATGATTTCACCAAGAATCTGAAGACGTGCTTTGAGTTGCATTGGGCTCGTTAAGTTTCGAACGAATGGGCCCATCAGAACAATAGCCACCGGAGGCATATCATTGTAACCCACTAAAAGAGTTTGCAATTTTTGTAAGACAGTTGGATCATCCAGCCTAAAACAAAACAAAATAAACGAATGAATGAAATGCACATTGAAATGGTCGGTATTGTAACGAACCAGCAATCGGCCAAAAATACAATGGTTGCATCTGTGTTTGCTCGTTCAATTTCCAATAAACGTGCTGAACTTTTGAGAAGTATCTTCGAACGACCACCCCATGTATTCAGCGAGCCAAAATATGCACGTGAACTTGCCGCTTCTTCAAATCTATGAACGAACAAAAACATCACAAAGTATTCAACAGCCTAAAGAGCGTATTACAATATATATTCAAACTTACGGTGGAAATCCCATGCCCGATGCCTTTAAAATCCCATCCTCATAACTACCCTCAATCAGTACAAAGCAACCTTCGCAAAAGAAGCCACTGTGAAATTGTACAGAAGATAAATCGATTTGAACCGCACCCGTCGGATCTTCGATGAAAAATTTATTCTCTTTCAATTGAGCGAGTAGTCCGAGCACAACAACTTCTTTTACGCTGGTTGAAGCGAGTAGTGTTTCAATTTTTCGTAGTTGAAATTTTTTCACATCAACCGATATGCCTGGAATTGATGCGGCAAACAGTTCATGACGGCATGTTCTTTGCCAAAGCATTGTATAACGATCGATCAAAAATTCAGAGCGTGCCGTGGCCGATGGTAGAAGATTGCGTGGCTTGTCTTCGATGAAATACTTTTTCCGTTCCATGTCGTATTTATACTTTGGAATATCGAACGCATTTATAACGGAGAATATAGTCTCGCCATCTTCAAGACCAGCATTACAGTTTTCCTGTTGGAATAGATTTATAGACATTATTCTTCTTCTTCTTCAACAAGTCATAGTCTTACCTTGATGGCTAATTCAATATGAACTATTTCAACATTGGGCGTTGGTAGTCCTTGGCTCTGTATATGAGATGCAATATTGCTCAACCATTCCTTTTGTTCTTCATTGCTTAGCGGCTGCAGTTGTTCGGCCAAAAATGTTCTCACTTCACTGTCGATCAAAAGAATTGGACAAATTTTTTATACAGTTTCGTCTACCTCACAAACACTCAATTATTTCTGATGTACTCACGATCGTGTGAGAAATCCATTTAGTTTAAAAACGGCAGCAATTTCTTTGCTCAATACAGGTATGGTCTTCATGATTCGTTTGTTGTGCAAAATAAATGCATTTGTTGTTAAAGCCGGTACATACAGCTTATTTGTCAGTGTCGTGCACAGCTGAGTTTTTGGCGCGAATTTTGTCGACACCTCATTTTGAATAAAGTTTCACATGAAGTTGACTGCGAATGTGGAATAAATATTGATATTTTGTACCATATGAAAATTATTGATGCACAATAATTTCGAAGCAAGAATTTTACATTTTATTTAATAAAAACAATTTAAAATTTATTTTCCAAATAAAAATGTGGCTGAAAATGTCAAAAAATCTGTAAACAAATTGAATTCGCTTTAAAGTCACCCACCGCTACGGTACAATAACGTATGGATATGCGTTACTAAAATAGCAAACAATTGACTTAATATTATTTTTCTCGCTTCGTACATGTGAGTTACACTGAATCATACAAGGAAAACACGTTTTGTGTTGAATTCTTTCATCGAAAAACGAAGGAAATAGACACAAACACAATTAAATGTGCCGTAAGAGAGTAAATAAATCAAAGTTCATGTGTGTCATTTAGATTGTGTGCTGTATATATAAATGTGTATATAGAGAGCTTGAATTGATTGTGTGTGCGAGATCGCGATATATGAACGTAGCTTAACATGCACAATATCTATGGAATATCAACTTCTGACAAAGTCATTTCATGTGATTACCATTTCAGCTTTAACTTTACAATGAAATAGACGTGTTTTTTTTACTCGTGCGCGCAGTTAATTTAACAGAAAAAAAGTAGTTTCATTTGTTCAAATATCCAAAACTAAGAAAAAATCAAATTGACGGCGAGTTTGTTGGATTCTTTGTCGTCAAACTTGCGAGTGTTTCATTCATAAAAAAAATATAAATTGTTTGGATTTTATATTTCACAAAGGAGCCAATTTGTGGATAAAATAAAATTGGAATTTTCCGTCAAATAGTTAAATAAAGTAAGTTTTATTTTGCTTCAACAGTGATGTTTCGACAGGAAAATATATATTTTGCTTTTGATTTAAAGAAAAAAACGATTCGTGCTTTGGATCAGACATGAAGAAAAAATAAATGAATAAAATCAGACAATGTATTGCGATGAGCTCAGCAGATATTTTTATGAGAGTCAAAAAAGATTTGTCATCGAACATTGAAATCGTAATTATATGAATTTTTACGGCGAAAAATATAATTTGCAATAAAATGAAAACCAGTTTTTTGACGCAACGGTTCATATGTGTTTTTAGTTCAGTGAGACGGATATAATTATTGTTTTCCTGTGTGGATATACAAATTCTTTATTTGATTCTCATAACAAATATTATCGGCTGGATGAGCTGAAAATATCTCAATACACTGTCTTAATAAAACCGAAATGAAAAAAAAGAAAGAGTGAAATGTACTGTGCGATCATTTGAACCATGTTTTAAATCAATTGTTACCTACGTGATCGTTTTTTTTATACACAGTCACTTGAAATGATTAGACAAACATGTTCCGCATATATGCATGCACGCACACACACCGATTGACGCTCGCACAATCAAACAAATAAATCGGGTTTTATTACAGTACGGTAAAAATACACATTGAACTCTTCGATTCTTTCTTTATGCAATACATGCAATAAATTCTGTGTGAAGCTTAGTTCTTTTATTTTCGTCAATCGTGCGGTCCTTTAGTCTTTTGTTTCATTTTCTTGGGTGCTTTGGATTGTTCAAAGGTCGCCAAGTGACGAACAACTGAAACATTGTAAACATGGGCGAAAATTTTGCATTGTCATTTCTACAACAGAAGTAATAATTACTTAAAAACTTAATTTGTTACTTGTGTGAACGCAATTTTTATCAACACTAGAAGAATGACAACACCAATACAAAATTCATACTTGAACTCTGAAAGCAATTGAAGAAGACCCCGTATCACACACAGCAACTGGACTTCAGAAAATTAAAAAAAAATGCTTGCAATTTCGAAATGGATTTTGGTCTGACTTCATATACCACCGTCGCGGTTGTATAATTTATTATCGCACACGTGAATGTGTAATATCTCATTGTATTTTTGCTTGCATTTTATCGCACGATTTTTTTTTTATTTTGTTCGTTCGTTCAGCTGACTATCTCTTGCTTTCTCGGCGTATATTCGACGGTTCCTCAACAAGTGGTTGAAGTATGTGATAGCGCTTGTTTTTTTTTGTTGATATCGTAACCATGCACCAATGCGAAATTGATCCGAATGTTTGCTATTTTTTCTTCTGTTGCTGATTGCCTTTTGCATTGTTTAATGGATAAATATGAGTGTTTTTTTTATAAATTATCAAGATAACGCATTTGATAATTAAATTTATTTAATTCCATCTCGAATGAACATTTTTTCTTTGTCGGAAAATGTGTGTGTGCGCTGATTTCTTGTGAATGTTTGTAAATATTTTGAAAGACGGGAGAAGTTTTATGAATGAAAACGATGTGCATGATGCGATACGTGTGATTTAGATGGAAATAATGATGAAGAGAAGTCAATGTCATTCACTAATTCAAGTTTCACTTGTGGTTTATCCAGGTGTTTATTTTTATAATGTACTCACACACACAATGCATCCCAATTTATTTAAAAATAGATTCTTTTGAATATGAAAAAATTACGTAAATATTTTTTTTTCTCTTTTTATGTCTAATTTAATTGTTAGGCATTTTGCGCATATGAACCGGAGTATGTTTTATTTCTATATTTGAAACTTGATTTTCTTGATGCGTCAGATCAATGCTACAAAGTGTGTTGATTTATTTGTGTATTTTTCCATCTCACTCTGGCGTAAATCTATATATATGCTGGTTAATTTTTCCATAGCGATGTATACGTGGCTTTGTCGCCATAGTCGTCTCCTCTTCCTCACTTACTTTTGATTTGGAATAAATTGTTTAGTCGGGAATTAGCTATTCATACATTCAAATGGAATGCCAATTTATTGAATGTAAATTATTTTCAATGCTTGAAAGCGCACAACGAAAGTAAGAAAGAAAGAAAGGAAGAAATGAAAAAAAAAACAACAAAATCAATCGGCTTAGCCGATGCTATTCATAAGGCAAATTCTGCCGTGCTGCCGACAGTTCATTCTGATTTGTTTGTTGATTTTTTTTGTTCCTTTTATTTCAGCCGGTATATTTATTTTTCTTTCGTTTATTTTTCCTTTATTTTGTAAACGAAATCGCGTACTCAATGTATACAAAATCGGAATTTATTGTAAGCAATACAAAATATTTTGTCTATCTCTTTTATCGGTTCATTTTTTTTTTTGGATTTTGTATGACGGTGCTTCTTCGCCGCTATGATCAAACATCTGATTAATGACACTTTAGATCGATTTACAATTGAAAATATCTAAACAAAAAAAAATTGAGAGTGTTAATACAGCAATACCAAAAGAAAATTTATTTCGGGGCCAAATTTAAAATTGCGTCATGTAAATTTGGTGCTGTCGCCGGCGATGTTATGCAATACTCTTTGATCCATCGATTTTAATTCATAAGATGTGAGAGAATTGGAAGTTGAACGGAAAATTGATAGTCTAAAGAAAACGAATAGAAAGAATATTTAACTCTATATCACACTTAAGCATTCAATGTCAACACATCCATAGCTGATAATCAGTTGTAAATGGAATGCATACAAATGCTTAAATGGTGTGTTGGTAGGTTGTATTGCAAGCATACGTGTGCATCTCAAGTGAACTTCGACATTTTTATTTCATTCATATGTTCTGTAATAATCGTGATGCATTCAAACGAACTAATTTCACTCGAATTGACCACCACAATTATGACCTAAATAATAAGGCTTCCCTCATTTGCGAAAAATCAAGGCTGTCTTAATTGGTGTTAGACACCATTTTTATCACTTTATCAGTAAACGGCAACGGACAACAACAAATCGGAATTAATTGCAATTTATGAATTAAATTATAGAACGCAATGACACAATTTTCTATGGTGTAAACAAACCTAATTGATTTCAACACCAACCGAATGTGTTTAATCAATTATTTTGACACGACACACGCAAATGAAGTTAGGAAAAAAGTACGAAATAGTAAAAAACTGTTTCGAATAAGTTCTGGCAAAAAAAAATTGAAATCAATCGAAATATATACGGCTTTGTACGCTTTTAAAGTAGAAAACATGTGCATGTAGCAAATAAAATAGCATTTGTTAAAAAAATTTGTTTTTCCTTTAAGTTACTAAGAAAGTGTGCTGAGCTCATTTATAACTGTAATAGAGATTCATGCTATAAAATTCATGGCGTATAGTAAGTTTTTTCAAACCAAAAACATGTGAAATTATCATTCAACACAATTAGTACCTAATTTGGAGATATATTTTTCATTGTTTTACAATCAAAGATTACTTTTCATATCTGTGCCAAAATTAGAAGCAATCAAAAAAGCAAAATGTGTGGCAAAAGTCTGTCGAACTGTTAAATTTGTAATGGGCATTGTCTTCATTTTATATAATAAAAAATAGCGTTTACACGCACATTCGAAAGCATACACATCTGATTGTATGTCATAAAAACACGGTATATAATGTGGATCAATGTGAAATTTACGCTTGGCATGTCACCAGCAATCAATAAAGCAACGTGATAATGAATTGGCACTGCATTTTTTTCACATATTCAGAAATTGGTGTGCGAAATAAAAAAATAGATCGAGACACGCTTTGTGTACCACAGCTACATCATCGCTGGCAGCCCTTGACCTTTTATCGCACATACACAGTCTCTTATAATATTTTACAATTTTTTTTAAAGACACTTATCTCGTTCCAAATGCGCACAAAAGTGCAGCGTACCCTTTTGCTACCTTAGTTCGTGTGTTCGTCCTCATGATAGAGGCCATTGTCACTTCAAAACTAGGATGCAAATTCAATTCAAGAAAACTTATACGAATTGAAACGAAGTTTATTTACTATTCTTCACACTTTCACACTACGATGTTTGCATTACATTTTTTTGGTTGGGAAGTTTCATGTTTGAAAAATGTCTATTTAGATGTGTAAAATAGTACAATCTATAATTGATGTGTAATTTCATGTTTAATTGGTCAATCTCTTAAAATCATGGCTTCCATAAAAATGCCTTAAAAATGCTTATCGGTTGGCTTTGTTTGATAAAACTATTTGAAAGAGATCGAATTTCATGTGTGTACGTGCGTACTTATTTTGTCAACATACAAAGAAGAAAAACAAATCCACATTAAATGGAATTTTTTTTTTTTTGTTGTTCGATGACCATTAAGCCGATTGTATAAGGTGTAATGAATGAAAATGATCGAGAATGACGTCGAGAGCGCTTAGAAAATGAATATGTGTCGCGCGCCACAGAAAATAAACAAGAGTATGTGATGTTGTTGAAAGTTGTTACGTGTTCGCATGATGTTTTTTGCTGTGGTTGCACGACAAGTGGCTACACTCAGATTTCGCTTTCTTTATATACTACAGCAGTAATAATGTCTTGTTACATCACAAATCATAATATTGCACGCACTTTTATACATCAGCAAATATAAAATAAAATACATTATTTCAAAAGAGTTGAGCAAGTACGCGAATTGAAACGAGTTAAGAGGTTAGCTTGCGCGTAAAAGAGCAAATTATATCAATAATCAGTCGCAGAACTAGATATCACACGCCAACACCAACGAATAAGAAATTCATTTAAGAAACCGTTTGGAAAGTTGATTTTCTCTCAATTTATACATTTTTTATGATAAAGAATCGCTCGAAGTTCACAGTCATCACTTTGTCAAAAGATAATCTCTCATTTAGATGATTTGCCAAAAATATGTGTGAATTCATTCATTCTTAAGTATCGTTAACGTAGAAAAAACGTTGTCACAAACCTGTTGATTTGCTGTCTATTGCCAATCGTCCAAGCATATCGTACAAGAAATCGTGACATATCAAAATTGATTCATTTAAAGCCGAGTCAGTCTAGGTGTTAGTTTTATCCAACGGGTTGTGCGAATAATTTTAAGTAGTACTAGAAGCTTCGTCTCGTAGATAAGACGCCATAGAACTAAACTATGGTTGAACAGACCAAATGTTCCATGTTTTGCAATATTTTGCTATCATTCTCACTTTGAATGATAAAATAAAGAATGAATTGTCATGGTTCCATACAGACAGATGACAATAGACGCAGACAAATGATAACAAGCATGCATGTAAAATTTTAAACGATAGATTATATGTTTTCTCGTCAAAGCTAAATATTATTGTAAGTTAATTATCGGTTGACTGGTAATTATCGGCTGCAGACGTTTTATTTGTGAGCAATCTGGTGAGTGATGTAATAATCTTCGATAATTTCCTGAAATCAATGACAAAAACCGAGCTTAATGGAAAACAATAATCACTAAATCTCGCCCAAAGCACGTTCACGTTTATCGCTTTTAAATCGAACCGGGTAAAAAATTCCATTGGTGTGTTTTTCGGTTTTGTTTTGTATTTTCGGAATAGTTCAATTTGAACTTCAAAGCGTTATATGTTCAAGTTCAAACATAAACATTCAATTTCCGCTAACAGTTAAAAACCCGTTTGGAAAAATTACATTTCAATTGTGGTTCAGTAAGATTAGTTATTAGTTGAATTTCTTCCCGACTGGTGACAACAACTTGAATTCAGGAATTATAAAAAAATTAGTTTTCCGTTTTACATTTCGATTTTACACATTCAGTCACAAGAGATCAGACGATCATAAACGAAGCAGCAAGTAAGATCAACGAATTATACAAAAGTTCTGTGCACAATTTAAAAAGCAAAAAATTCATTTTCACTTTGTGCGGTAAGAAAATAACCAGTTTGCATGTTTTGAATTATAAGTTATAATTTGCATGAAGTCGCACCGAATTTTTATTAAATTAAAACAAATTCAAATCGTTTGAAAACATCGAGTTGTGATACAAAGAAATTTTGTGTTGATACAAAAGTTATTCGTGGAATGTCATGCACAGCAACATCCGCAGCTCATTCACCTGCAAATGTGACGACTATTCTAGTGACTTCTGTTGCAAGACCTTCTGACACACTTCTGGATTTATCTCGAAGTGTAGAATGCAAACGTGTTTCATATGAAGTAAAAATAAAGAATACAAACCATATTGATGATAATTTAATATTATTTTCATTGTCATGGATTGAATGTGGCTGATAACTGGTATCCCAGTAGACACTTGTTAAGCAAATCTATCTCCCTCTTACACAAATAAACAATATCAATTCAAATAACACAGAATAAACAAGGAAGAATCACATAATAATACTATATTAATTGTAATTGAACAGAATGACGTCGAAATTGAAGTCGACTCGTGCCGTGCAATATTTTCTATTTTTATCTAATTTAATCATATGCAATAAATAAAAAAATTTAATTGATTTTTTATTTCCTTACACTTGCAGAAAGAGTGAGATAAAAATGACAGAAACACAGGATATACCTGCCACCGCTCAGGATGAGCCATTTTTGGGAACCGTAGATATTGTTTTATTGATTGCGTTGCTGGTTGGTGGACTCTATTGGTTGTTCAGACGCAATAGAAGAGAAGAAATGCCAGTACCCAGAACATATGCGATACAGTAAGTGTCATGACATCGTTTATGGTTTGCTGTTAGCACAGTACAACTGAGATTAACTGTATTTTTGGTTTGAATTTGAATTAGACCAACCCAAATGAACACAGTCCAATCAATGGACAATTCGTTTATCAAGAAATTGAAGGCATCTGGACGAAGTTTGGTTGTTTTTTATGGTTCACAAACTGGAACTGCTGAAGAATTTGCTGGTCGTTTGGCAAAAGAGGGTATTCGTTATCAGTTGAAAGGAATGGTCGCTGATCCTGAAGAGTGTGATATGGTATGAACACGTTGTGTTATCAAGTATAAAAGGGACCATTTTTTAACTTTTCTCTTTCTCTTTCTTACGAACTTTAGGAGGAATTGTTGCAAATGAAAACAATTGAAAAATCGTTGGCCGTTTTTTGCTTGGCCACATATGGTGAAGGTGATCCAACTGATAATGCAATGGAATTTTGGGAGTGGATTCAAGGTGACGTTGATTTAGCTGGTCTCAATTATGCGGTAAGAAAATGACGCATTTCTTTTTTTATTTCATCAGACAAAAACTTACCACAAAGTTTCAAAGAACAAATGAGCAAACATATATATAAAAACAGTTTACCATTGAGAAAGTTGAGTTAAAATCGATATTTAGGGCATGGTTCATACACAAACACCTCTGCGTATATACTGTTATTATTCTTTGTACTTTCTCGCAATCCAGACTTATGTAAACACAATTTTTTTTGTTTACAAGCCCTACATACGCAGAGAAAATCCAGTTTTTTTTATCTCAATCTCGTACACAGTCTGCTTTTTTGACATGAGAAGAAGACAGAAATAATATGACCTTCATATCGTGAATGACCAATACGATACAGTACGACGTTGACGACAAATCAAATTCAATTCGATAAATGGAAGCGTTCGCTAACAGTGCTTGCATTAATATTTTTTTCATCGTTTTTTGCGCTGTATCATTGTGTAGATGTGTCATGACGGCGTGTGTTTATTTGATATACCTTTGTTAATGATTGTATTTTCAACGACGTCATTCCACACCGTTCAATAAACTGACATACTGTTTTTGTTGGAGTGTGTAACGTGCCGATATTTATGTGGCATGCGATCGGCTTGGAAAAATTTATTCAGTGAACTTGCGATCACCTCGTCTTTCTTTTTAATTTGTATTATTGTAGTTGAATTGGTTTGAAGCGTTTGCGTGATGTGGCAAAGCCAAAAGCGTTAATTATTTAATTTTCATTTAGCAAATTCTTTGAATAATTTTTGATTTCCATTTCCAAAGCTATACAAAAAAAATAAAACACACAAAAACCCACTTGAAATATAATAAAACGGACGTACATAAATGTGCTTTCGTAATGAACGCCCGATTTTTTTATTGAAAATTGTTAAAATCTCGCGCAAACAAACAAACCGAAATTTATTGCATAACTTTTCGTCGCTTTTATATTCCATCTTGTTACTGCTACTGCTGCTGCTGCTGTGTGTATGCAGTTTTTCGATTTTATTCACTCGAAATCCTTTCACTTTGAGCTCATCTCATGTGGAATCGAAAAGAAATGTGGTTCCATTTTTAACAGACTGACTGAAATTCAAGTGTTTGATATCATACTAGAGAAAATGGGAATTACGTGACCCAATATACAGCGAATTGACGATATTTTTCATTAATTTACACTTTTATATGTGGTATCTATTGTATATTGTAAGAATATATTGAAGCATTCAAATTAGCACTCGACAAAAGTTTAGTTATTGGGTTGCAAACACTGACCGGTATTAGGTCAACGCTTTGTGTACGTGCAAACTCAAGTTGATTGGACGTCGCCTGTTATAAATCATCCGATATTCACCACATATTATTTGCGAATAATTAAAAAGTGTGTCCAGTACAAATGGCAACAAATTTTTAAGAAGTTCAATCCCGTTTGAAATTGTTTATTTGATATAGTTGTTGCCAAGTTGTGTATGAGCCTATATATCAGTGGAGTGTATAAAAATTAGGACACAATTATGTTTTGGCTTCAATCGATTGGAAAGGAAATGAAAATGCCGTTAATCCATTTGAATGTTGTTGAGCAATGTCGGGCATTCGATCGCGCCCTGACTGCGTGCCACACCAAAAGGTTAAACAATTCCTCTCTACATGGACGTATGGACTTTCAATAATCATATCATCAATTGAGCATTCATTTAATTTGATCGCTATATATGTGTTTCCTTTTGTATTGTGGCGGTCGTTGTGCGTATAGGTAACACTGAATAGATTTGATCAATTTTACCTTTTTTCGTGTTGTTGCACTATTCGAATATTGTTGATATTACATAAAGAAAATATTGATTGCATTTCAACATTTACGTTACGTCCAAGAGAAAGATGTTACAAAGAAATCACAGCTTTTGTTGTCATTCATGCATAGTAGCATGTAATAGAATCTTGTTTCTGTGGGGTTAAACGAAACAAATTTTATTGTAGTTATTAAGCGACTGATCATTATGATAATGATGAAAAATAGATGATTTATTTCCTACTTCTGTTTCAATCAAAAAATCAACAAACACCAACATGCCATTAGTGAACAAACACACTCACAAACCGCAATACCCATGCACGAATAAATGAATGAAATAGTAGTAACATGTGTGTTTGTTATTTACTCGCAACGAACAACGCAACGAAACGCTCCGATATAGACAACGCACACATGCGCACATTTTGATTGTGAATGTATCGGTATGCAATTGACAGACAGGCAAATAAACGTCAATTTTATTATCATATGTGTTATATCAGTGGCTCAAGATCACATTCACGTGTGTACCCGAGAGAGAATGTCTAACAGTCGATGGGTCGATTTATAATTTTATTCGATTCGTGTTTATGAATTTTTATTCAATTTTTTTTTTCGTTCATACTCATAGTGCGCTGATTTTCAGTATCTATCGTTCGAACATTTCGACGACAATGTAAAACCTGTGTGTTCAAATAAATAACGTATACTACAATATCGTTTATTTTAATTAAATGAACATTCAAACAACACAAAATTAGTTATGACTCGTACGCAGATACAATTTGCACATTCATCACTGTTAAGCTATTTCTCGGTCAATTCAAGTGCAATAGTGACGAGTCATTGGCGAAAACGGAATTTTATTAGATATTTAATTGATTACATAAAGAACAAACAACACATACACGAACTATATCGTCAACGGCATGTGACAAAAACAAAATCTGACTATGTTAGCGCAAAGAACTTTTCAATGAAACCTTCGGTAGAATTCAATTGAAAATCTAATCTTATCATTTTTTTCTGACTGTGTGTGTGTTTTCGATTTCATTTTCAGGTATTTGGTCTTGGCAACAAAACATACGAACATTACAATAAAGTCGCCATTTATGTGGACAAACGTTTAGAGGAATTGGGTGCGACTCGTGTCTTTGAATTGGGACTCGGTGATGATGATGCAAAGTAAGAACAAAGCAACCATTTAAATATTTAAATATATAGAATAATTCATTTGAAATGTATTTCATTCATGAAAAATCAGCATCGAAGATGATTTTATTACATGGAAGGAACGCTTATGGCCAACCGTTTGTGATTACTTCGGTATCGAAAGTACCGGTGAAGATGTGCTGATTCGTCAATACCGTTTATTGGAACAGCCAGAAGTCGCACCAGATCGTATATACTCAGGTGAAGTGGCACGTTTGCATTCATTGGAAAATCAACGACCACCATTCGATGCCAAGAATCCGTTCCTTGCAACAATGAAAGTGAATCGCGAATTGCATAAAGGTGGCGGTCGTTCATGTATGCATATTGAATTCGACATTGAAGGATCAAAAATGCGCTACGAAGCCGGCGATCACATTGCATTGTTCCCGACAAACGATCGTGATTTGGTTGAACGTTTGGGTAAATTGTGCGATGCCAAATTAGACACAGTGTTCTCATTGATAAATACTGATTTGGAAAGTAGTAAAAAGCATCCGTTCCCATGTCCAACCACTTACCGTACAGCGTTGACTCACTACATTGAAATCACAGCTATTCCACGTACTCATATTCTAAAAGAATTGGCCGAATACTGTTCCGACGAAAAGGACAAGGAATTCTTGAAATTGATTTCATCAACATCGCCTGAAGGAAAGGCACAATATCAATCATGGATCCACGATGCTTGCCGTAATGTTGTTCACATTTTGGAAGATATTAAATCATGCAAACCGCCAGTTGATCATATTTGTGAAATCTTACCACGTCTTCAGCCACGTTACTATTCGATTTCATCATCGGCCAAACTCTATCCGACAACAGTGCATGTTACCGCTGTACTTGTGCAATACGAAACCAAAGCCGGACGAATAAACAAAGGTGTAGCAACAACATATTTGGCTGCACGCCATCCAGATGATTCAAGTGAACCACAAAAAGTGCCTGTATTTATCCGAAAGAGTCAATTCCGTTTGCCAAACAGAACTGAAACACCGGTTATTATGATTGGACCGGGTACTGGTTTGGCACCGTTCCGAGGTTTCATTCAAGAACGTGATCTATGCCGTCGTGATGGAAAAAGGGTCGGTGACACCATCTTGTATTTCGGTTGCCGTAAGAAGAGCGAAGATTACATTTACGAAGAGGCAAGTTATTAAACTATTAAATACAAATAATCACATGCCATGAAAAGCTATACATTTTTTTGTCTGATTTTATTTATTATTAATAATTGTTGTGGTTTTTACATTCGATAGGAATTGAATGAGTATGTACAAAATGGTACGCTTAAAATGCGAACTGCCTTCTCAAGAGATCAACCCGAAAAAGTCTATGTCACAAATCTTCTGCGAGAAGATACTGAACTTGTGTGGGATGTCATTGATCATAAGGGTCACATATATATTTGCGGGTATGCATTCAATGCTATTTTATTGCTAATACTCTGTTTGTTTTACTCAAATTTTTGTCGATTTTCTTAATTTTAAATGTTTTTTTTCTGCTTTTGTAATTTCAGTGACGCTAAGAATATGGCCACTGACGTTAGGAACATTCTACTAAATATCATTAAAACCAAAGGAAACATGGATGATGCGAGTGCTTTACAATATTTGAAGAGAATGGAAGCACAAAAACGATACTCGGCCGATGTTTGGAGTTAAACTCTCGCATTCAACCATTACACTAAATTAATAATATAAAAGTATATTTTTATATAATTTTTAAATTCGAATAAATATTCAATTCATTCTTTTTCCGTGGTTAACATCAAAATGTTTTTTTTTAAATGTCGGTCGTAATTAATATTGAATTTTTGACGTAGTTAATTTTCACGATTATGTGGTTAAAAGTTCATTCAAATGTCACACATTTTGTCAAATAAAAATTGAAAAAAAAAGACTCAAGAAAAGTTTTTATCGATTTGTAAAACTTATTTTGAATGAACACAGATTTTGTTCTTCGTTTTTTTTGCTAAGCGCATGCATGTTTTTGGTTTTGATTCTCTTTGATCTATTGAGTTTTAAATATTAAATGAATCATCTTACAATTAAATAAAGGTAATGATTTTTACCTAGCAATTAAATTCGTTTTTGCCTAGCAAATTTATGAAGACTCGTGTCTTTTAAGAAATAAATTGATTCAATGCTCAGTACGTGTCAAATTGGAATGATAAATTCTCATTTTAAAAAGAAAAATCTTTTGTTTAGGAGCACTTTGATTGGATTTATCTGTAAATGAAGACGGAAAAAAACGAACTATTAGAATTAATATCACACCATCAATTTTTAAGTATGAAAATAAGAATTGCACCACTACAACAACACATTATGAACCTTCGTAGATTTGTCGATACCAGACAATATATTGAACTAACTGACAGTACGTTAGCCAACTAAATAGGCTAAAACAATAGATTCATCATTATAACAATAACGTCTATTGTTTTAGCCCATTTAGCTTGCCCACTGTCAGCTCAACTGAGTAGTTAGTTCAATATATTGTCTGGTGGATACTAGTCTCCACTTTTAGATTTCAATATTTTACTCGAAAACATAGCAAACAGGACGAACATTTTAATTTTCTCCTGCTGGATCTAAAAAGTCCAAACGAAAAATTTGAACATCTTACCCAAGTTAGTAAAAAGAGACTTTTTTATTCTTCGTCTTGTGGTTGGAATTCATTTTCGATTTCATTTTCCACCTCATCGTCACTTTGTTCGTCGTCATCCTCCTCTTTTGTGTAGACCGTATCAAGTGCCTTAAAGCGTTTGGCCGAGATTTTTTCAATTTCTTCGTCGTTTAATTTACGCTTCAAAGTATATTTGACGGGAATTGACATCATGCGATCCAGAGACTGTCGTATAAATGAACACACATATTTTAACAGAATTAATGAATAAAATTCCAAAACATTGACACCATCCACAGTATATTTGAAGAATATAAAAGTCACCTGTGTATCAATACCAAAGCGATCCAAATCATTGTGATATTGTGACCAGCGACTATTAATTTTCTTCTTCCATTCGATGGCGCAGTAAGCCGAGCAAGGAAATTGACGAAGATAAGGCAACATTGATTTCGGATTTAAAATGCGAAATGTGCATAAACTGTAACCTTGTTCGTTGGCAATTGCTTTCATTTCCTCCACAACTTGTTGATACTTTTTCATCTCGTCAACAATTTCAACATCAACGTGTGCGAGTGTCTTCTCACGAGCCTCATACCTAAGGGGAGAATCACAAAAGAAAAGAATAGAATTAATTTAAAGTAATCGACAAATAATCGAAAAACGAGCCTCATACCATTCACCGATTGACAAAAATGTGCCCATGTGGTAGTTGCGGACATGCATATAAATGTAGCGCTATTGTGAAATGAAATCCATTGTGGATTAACATTGTTGTTGCAAAAAAAGCAATTAAAAAAATGGTGAAATTCAATACCTTCACTAACGACCAGACGCTTCCCTTATGATAAAAATTATTAAGACACAGTAGTGACATCATGCGCACACGTAACTCTGGTACACTCAACATGCAAGTCTAAAATAAAGGTTAAACAATAAATGTACATTTCGTATTTTAAATCCGAAATCGATGTTGCCTTACCTTCATGATATGATAAAACGTGCGTGGGAATAGAAATTGCATCGGAAAAATATTTGCCTGAAAACATGAATAGAATATTAAATACCACAATCTCGCTTGCTCTGTTCCACTTACCATCTGAGCAATGTGCTGTGAACTTTCGTTCATTCGTGCAAAAAAATTGCATCCTCTTCCGAAGCTTGATGTAACCACGGCATTCAAAATGACCGACAAAACATAGTCACAATCGGCTGGAGTGTATTCAAAGTAAATGAGATTTGAATTGACAAACTCGTTGCGCTGCATTTCATCTTTATGCATTTCAGTAATGGCCACCTCATACACATCTCCACGCCAGACGTCTTTGATATAACCTTTGACAAAGCTATACAAGAATGGAATCTGAGCACACAGTCCGAGAACAAAGCCGGGCGCAAGAAAAGGTGATAATTCACGAATCGACACCTCACCACTGATCAAACAAGACAAATGAAATGAACAATGTATATGCGAAAAAAAAATTTGGATGCCAATCGAAATCTTACCTGTACTTGTCGATATAGATGTACGAACGCATTAAATAAATACATTCTTCAACCGAAGATGGAATTTGTAAATTTTTCGGAGTATCCATTATAGTCGCGAAAAAATGACGATTAGTATCTAGATTTAAACGTAAAATTCATGTGCTTATTACTCTTTTGTTTTGACTACGTGCTTCTAACAAGATCGTACATGCAGCCACACAAGTTGTGTATGTCACTTGGATTTGAATTATATGTGATCTTCAATGCTTACAGTGCAAATTTTCTCAGTGGAACTAACGGCAAAAATCTGTATAAGTATGCATAAATGTGCACCTCTAGGGTTGCCACATTCGATTTTTCGACATTGGTCGCGGCATTCGAAATGTCAAAATATGCGATTCAGAGTAGAACTAAAGAAGACAGATACGAAGCTCAAATAAACGATATATGTGTTGCAATACTTTCATATTGTAGTTTATCACACCAATAAATAATTGCTGATATACAAATTGATTAAATAAATTACAAAAAAGTGTACAAAGTTTTAAAAAAATCATGTCGCATAATTACATTGTGACAGCACAAAAACCAACTGCAGTTACAGCATGTGTTACAGGTGAATATTGAATTTCATATAATTCAATGCGTAGAATAGTTTTTGCATAGCCTAGCGAGGAAAAAAACACACAAAATATTCGCAGCTACTGTGCACAATGTACCAGTTTATTTGTAATGTATATATATACATATGTGCATATCCATACAGATATAGGTTATGTTCGTTGTTGCTCATTATTTTGTCTCTCTATTTAGAATATTATTTTTATTATTGCGAGGAGATATTGTTCTATTTTTGGTGCATTTATACGTTTAAGTAAACATTGTTCTTGCATATTTACAGGCAATTTCACATCGGAAGATGACTTGAATTTAATTGTAGCGAAAAATTCGCGCCTCGAAATCTATTTGGTGACGCCAGAAGGCCTGCGTCCATTGAAAGAAGTTGGCGTTTATGGTAAAATAGCAGTTCTCAAACATTTTCGACCGGCCGTGAGTATTTTGCACACATTTTCATCGATGTGAAAATTGAAATAAATGATGATTTGATTTATTGTGACTGTTCAGGGTGAAAAAAGAGATCGACTGTTTGTGCTCACGCAACGATACAATGCTATGATATTGGAATGTCAATCAAATGGTGACGATATTGAAATTGTAACCAAAGCACATGGAAATGTAGCCGATAGAGTTGGTAAAAAAGCTGAAACCGGCATATTGGCGGTTATCGATCCGAAAGCCCGAGTCATTGGATTGCGTTTGTATGAGGGGCTATTTAAAATTATTCCGTTAGACAAAGACACGGCCGAATTGAAAGCAACTAGTTTAAGGTAAGTTGTATGAAACGTATTTTAAAGGTGCGATTTGGAACAACAAAGTAAAATTTGGTATTTGTTTGACACTCACAGAATGGAAGAATTGGCCGTACAAGATGTTGAATTTTTATACGGATGTTCAAATCCCACGCTAATCGTCATACATCAAGATATCAATGGACGACATATTAAAACACATGAAATTAATTTGCGCGACAAAGAGTTTATGAAAGTTGCCTGGAAACAAGACAACGTTGAAACCGAAGCGACAATGTTAATTCCGGTACCGTCTCCATTGGGTGGTGCCATTGTTATTGGACAAGAGTCAGTTGTTTATCATGACGGCAATTGTTATTTGGCCGTTGCACCAGCAATTATAAAGGTATAACTTCATTCAGAAAGTAAAAAAAAAACAGACAATAATTCTCATTTTTTATTCCCAACAAAACAGCAAAGTTCAATAAATTGCTATGCGCGTGTGGATAGTCATGGCTTTCGTTATTTGCTTGGAAATATGAGCGGAAAATTATTCATGCTATTTTTGGAAAGTGATGAGAGACCGAATGGAGATCTGTATGTGAAAGATTTGAAAGTTGAACTACTTGGTATGTATGAAATAACCAGAACAAAAGTGATCCAGTTCCAATTTTACAAATGAATCACATTCATTTTTCAGGCGAAATATCAATTCCCGAATGCATTACGTACTTAGACAATGGCGTACTGTTTATTGGCTCTCGTCATGGTGACTCACAACTTGTTAAATTGAGTACAACAGCCAACGAGAATGAATCATATGTCATTCCAATGGAAACGTTTACAAATCTCGGACCGATATTAGATATTTGCGTTGTGGATTTGGAACGTCAAGGTCAAGGACAAATGATTACTTGCTCTGGATCATTCAAAGAAGGTTCATTGCGAATCATTCGAAATGGAATTGGCATTCAAGAGCATGCATGCATCGATTTGCCAGGTATAAAAGGAATGTGGGCATTGAAACTTGGCATTGAAGACTCATTGTATGATAACACTCTAGTGTTGGCATTTGTTGGCCACACTCGCATCCTCACATTGACAAATGAAGAAGTTGAAGAGACCGAAGTTATTGGGTTTTTGAGTGATCGACAAACCTTCTACTGTGGTAATGTTGCTCACAATCAAATCATTCAAATTACCTCATCATCGGCCCGGCTCATTCAAACACAGTCTGGTGTTTTGGTTAACGAATGGAAGCCAAGCGATGATGGTCGTATTAGTGTTGTGGCATGTAATGATTCGCAGCTGGTATGTGCCTCGGCTTGTGATGTGTATTACATTGAAATTATGGATGGTGAATTGATTCAACGGTTGGTTTTTTTTATAAATATGTATAAAAGTATATTTTTTTTTACTAATGGTAATATTTTCACAGATCTCACACAACATTACCTCATGAAGTGGCTTGTTTGGACATATCACTATTAGATACAAAAATGGATAAGGCCAATTTTATTGCTGTTGGTCTGTGGACTGACATTTCGGTGACCATTTTGAAGGTTCCAACGTTGGAAGTTTTGAACAACGAAAAATTGGGCGGTGAAATGATACCCAGGTCCATTTTAATGGCTAATTTTGAAGGCATCAACTATTTGCTTTGCGCTTTGGGTGATGGTTCCATGTACTATTTCACATTGAATGCACTCGACGCAGTGCTAAAAGATAAGAAAAAAGTTACGCTCGGTACACAACCGACCATACTGAAAACGTTCCGATCATTGTCGACGACAAATGTATTTGCCTGTTCCGATCGACCAACTGTCATTTATTCGTCAAATCATAAACTAGTTTTTTCGAATGTTAATTTAAAAGAAGTAAATCACATGTGCTCATTGAATGCACAAGCATATCCAGACAGTTTGGCATTGGCAACAAAAAACTCCGTCATTTTGGGTACAATCGATGAAATACAAAAGTTACACATTCGAACAGTGCCACTGGGTGAATCACCGCGACGCATTGCCTATCAAGAGAGTTCACAAACTTTTGGTGTAATCACATCTCGGATTGATGTTCAAGACGGATCTGGTCTAACTCCACTACGTCCAAGTGCATCAACACAAACCCAAAATATCACAACCTCCAGTAATATGACACTAATGAAACCAGGCGCTGGTCTATCGAACGTAAACAATGAATTTGGCCACGAAGTGGAAATTTACAATTTGCTAATCATTGATCAAAATACGTTTGAAGTCTTACATGCCCATCACTTCATGCAAACGGAATATGTCCTGTCAATTATTTCGGCTCGATTAGGAGAAGACCCAAATACATATTTTGTGATTGGCACAGCACTGGTCAATCCCGATGAAACCGAACCAAAAGTATGTCATTCACGTGATATTTACTCTTTCGCTTCTACACACAGAGAAGTAATACAGTGAAAACTAGACGACTTGTCGCATAAAATTTGGAACTAGTTGACACTCATTCCGAATTTTATACGAGAAGCCACCTACTTTTCATTATATAATTTCTTTGTGTGTAATTATGTTTTTTTATTCGATTTGATATCTAGTGTGGTCGAATCATCGTTTATAATTTTGCGGATGGAAAACTAACACAAGTGTGCGACAAAGAGGTGAAGGGTGCCGTTTATTCACTTGTAGAATTCAATGGAAAAGTATTAGCAAGCATCAACAGTACGGTGAGGCTATTTGAATGGACTTCCGACAAAGATCTTCGATTAGAATGCAGCCACTTCAATAATATCATCGCATTGTATGTTAAAACAAAAGGTAATTTATTTAACTGCATTGCATATACGAATTGTGAGCATTTTGCTTAATTTTGATTGTGAAATAAATTCTAGGTGACTTTATTTTGGTGGGCGATTTGATGCGATCGATTACGTTATTGCAACACAAACAAATGGAGGGCAGTTTCGAAGAAATTTCACGTGATTATGAGCCAAAATGGATGACTGCTGTCGAAATCATTGACGATGAAACATTTTTAGGCGCGGAAAATGAGTTAAATTTAATTGTTTGCCAAAAAGACAGGTAGATTTTGAAGAGAACATTGAATTTGAATTGTGTATACTAAAATTGAAAATATTTTGCAGTGCTGCCACAACCGACGAGGAACGTCAGCAGATGCCCGAAGTGGCTCATTATCATTTGGGTGATATGGTGAATGTGTTTCGTCATGGTTCTTTGGTAATGCAAAATGTTGGCGAGAAAACAACACCAACCCTTGGATGCATTCTCTATGGCACCGTAAGCGGAGCGATAGGCTTGGTCACTCAAATACCACCCGATTTCTATGAAATGTTGCGTTCACTCGAAGGCCGTTTAGCAACCACCATCAAGAGTGTAGGAAAGATCGAGCATTCATTTTATCGCAGTTATTACACCGATGTCAAGCTAGAACCGTGCGAAGGATTCATTGATGGCGATTTGGTTGAAAGCTTTTTGGATTTGAACCGAGAAAAAATGACTGAATGTATTGCGGGGATGGAAATTGTATGAAAAGCATTTCGTTTTTGTTGCAAATCGTCGTTGTTCAAATGATTTTAATGAAAATCACATTTTTATTACAGGCCAATGGATCGAATGGACCGAAAGAGGCAACAGTGGACGATGTCATCAAAATTGTGGAAGATTTGACGAGAATTCATTAGAACTAATTGAAAACCCGAATTTTCGAAACTATTTATGTTTACGTTTTAAACGTACATAAAAAATAATTGTCAAGCAACTCTATCGTTTCAATTCGGAAACTAGTTTACATACAACAACTACTTTACATTTTTTTTAATTTCCCATTTTTGTTTGAATAAAATGAAAAACACAATTTGGAAAGAAAAAAAAAGTGTCGAATTTTATTCTTCTTCTCATTTACACCGAGAAATAGAAGTTTTATTTATCTAGATACGGCTTTGGGCGCCAAATACACATCGTTATTATTTTCGAAAATGAATACATATTTCGTTGACGGTGTAAGTGTGTTAGTAAGTTCGAAAAAATGTGACAGTTGTTATATTACGAATTTTTCTCCTCATTGTGTGCAATATACGCGTATCGGGTTGCCTCTTTCGCTCGCACAGTCAATACCAATTGGAATTGTAGCGGCCGTCCAATAACAGTAAAAGAGTTAAAGTGAAATAGCAGCAGCCCGAAACGAACAAACTTATTATCCTTTTTTTCGCTTGTCAAGCAAACGAGAGACAAGTAAAGTAGACAGCCAACCAATAACAAAAGTTGTATAAACTTACGAATCGTATTGAAATTCGCAATTTTTATTTCGAAACAAATGTACGTATATTCTGGCTGCGACTACGAGGAATATTCATAATCAGTGCAATCGTTGGACGGTATTTTGTGCATCATCGTGTGACGAAAAGAAACGTAATGCATCACACATTTGAGAACGTTATTCAACTGTTGATGATTGTGTACATTTTATGCAATCAAATAATTGGTTTGAATTCAAAATCATCAATTTTGTGGAAATTAAATGACAAAAGTGGAAAAATTGATAGCTACAGTGATAGTCATCAACACGTAAGTATTTGCAGTCCGTGCGCGTACCTCACAATTTTCAATGTTGCATTTAGAATTTTCCATACTCACGTATATTGTATGCACGAGTGTGTGTACAATTACAATGTACTCAGAGCCACATCATCGCTTATTAGCTATATCCCGTCATTAAAAACGTATCGATTTTTGTTTCTATCGTTTATGATTATATAGTTGGCGAAGGAAATACGCGATATTTATGAGAATGATGCAGTTTTCTCAATCATTACATCGTCGGCGAACAGCATTAAAATCAATAACCATTGGCGAAAAGATGTAGATAGCACATGTACAGCGTCAGCTGATTTTCTGCACTCGTACAGAGCGGCATCAAAGTAAGGTTATTTTGGTTTTTTGATCTGTGGCGCATCACACAAAAATATATAATGTATTTATAGTGCCCATCAACTGATGCATAATGTCAGTCAGAAGCGATCCGATATCAACTTAGATTGCGGTCGTCCCGTTAGTTTTTCCTTCTACGATGATCTAATTGGAATCTCATTGCGCTACAATCATCCTTTACAGCCCGATTTAGAGGTGTGAATTTGTTAATAAAAATCATACGTCAGACATTTTTCAGCATTTCACCATTTGGATATTTATTTTCATCATTTTAACACTGTAGGCGGCGACTCTTTTTTTAAAATCCAATAAAAATTTGAAAGCGTTCGACATCAATGTGCTGGAAAAACGACTGAAAAAGGCAAAACATGACAAACCATGGAACGCAAAATTATTCCATAAAATTGGTAATTTTTGGCGTATCAAAGGGGATGCAGGAAAGGCCATTGATTGCTTTCGAAGTGCACTAATTATGGATCCGACAAATGCAGATATTCTGCACGATTTAGCACGAATCTTGTTTAATTTACAATATTTAGATGATGCCATTTTTCTAGCGAGACGATCACTAGAAGCACGATCGAACAGTCAACATGCATGGAGGTCATTTTTCACATTAGGTGAAATCTATCGTGCATATGGACAATTTCAACAATCCATATTATATTTTAGACAAGCACTTGAATTAAATCCACAACATGAACCGATTCGTCGTGCCATTCAAGACATGGAACAAAAAACACCTTCTCACATTCAATTTTATACAATAGTCATCATTTGTTTGCTGGTATGTGATTGCTTTGTTTTTGATATTTAAAGTGAATTAATTGAAAGAAACGCATACTTGATCTTTTTCGCGAATAGTTCTTTTACGGTTTTTTTTTTATTTTCATTTATTTCAGGTGATAGGTGTACTTGGAGTTATTATAACAACAAATGACTTTACATTTGCCCCCGACACAGTTGAACCAAAATCGCAACGATCCCATTTCAATCGGGCCATGGCAATGAAATCTCTGAAAGGATTTGTTCATCGTTCAAAACCGCGCAAAGTCTAAAATTTATCTATTTTTCTATTCAAAAAAAAAAAAAAAACTATTCGCAATATCTCCTCGAATGATGACAGAAACGTGAAACAGAGACTAAAAATTTATTTGTGATAACAAACAGTCATACTCAGCTCTACCGTGATTTATGGGCAGTTTGTCTCTTATCCATAATTAAATACTAAATTTTAAGTAAGACTCAAACAGTTAATATAACGAAGATAGAACAAAGTGGAAAAACTATTTAATTTTCAATTCTCTCGGGTAATCATATCGAGTTCAGCTCAATATACCAAATAAGATTTTTCGTGCCTAAAAAATGCTATGCATCCAAAGATTGACTTTTTAAACTAAGCGTAATAATTTAGTGTTTTTAATAAAACGAAACTCAGTCAATTTCATATGTAATAATCAATAAAATTCGACGAAAACTTATGCTCATCAAATTGGTGTGTACTGTGCAAGTACGTGCCTCCTTTATTTCATAAATTTTTTTTTTCGTTTGAAGTTCCCGAGAGATTTATTTGTATACAGCACCGAAAAAAACAAGCTTAAACGACCATACCGTGCATACTATGTATATGTATACAAAATATAATTCAAAATGAAGTAAATTCTAAACCGAAAAATTTTTGTTTTTTTATGAATAATTTTTTTTAATCAAAAGTATCAATCATTTATTGTCGACTCACTTTTTTTTATTGTTATTTGGTCGATATCCAGAAATACTATGAGGGAGGGAACTGGTTTGAATGGGTACTACATTCACAAATGATATCAATTTCAAATGATAAAAAACTTTCGGTCGAGCCTGAGAGAATAACCATAAAAAATTTATGTTGAAATGCCACGGCATGGTGAATCTGGTTCAATTTTTGGTCAAAATAAAATTATGCATAGAAACCAAAACCACATCCATTTTAAACGCATTCATATATATGGCACACATTCCGTATATGAAACACACGATGAAAATATCAATCAAAATTGCACTCTCTGCTTCAACCCACGTGGTCGGGTCGCATATTGAATATATTTTATAATATATATTTTTTAAATGTTGAACGAGGAAATTTGTTTGTGATAAGATATAATGCAGACTACCGTGGGATGAACAATGTCTAATAAGAAAATGAAAATGATATGTGACACGGACGCAGGAAGTGTGGTCTATGGTATGTGTATTTTTTTTATAATGAAAAAGCGATATACATCTCGCCGAGTGAAAAAGTGAAACTGACCGGGTCGCTAGTTTTTGCATATGGTTTATTGCTCGCTTCGCCATATTTGCATCATTTATCTCTGCTATCGGAGCACACATATTTTATTTATTCAATGCAAATGACTCTAGTTTCTATCTTTTTCATTCTGCTGTACCACGGAAGTTCGGAAATGATGAATTGCACAGAGGAAATGTCTGGTCCAAGCGGTTAGGAGAATGTGTACATGACAAAAATAGTTCTGGTCAAAAATTTCTTTTTAATGATGTTACGTATTACAATGGCTTGCCTGCCACCAACTTGAATGTTTCACTAATAACATGAACGCTACGATATTTTAATACCATTAACGTGTGTGTGTCCCATATCACACTTTCTTTGTTAATTTTTATTGAATACACATGGGATTTTTACATTTCCAAAAATTTACGCTTGAGTGCTGGGTTAGTGTACACAATATGCGACCGTTCAACCACCTTGCATTGCAAATATGTAAATACGACTAGACTAAAGGTCGATCATTATTTCGTCAATGTTTTATTATGACAATTCGTAATTAGCTATGTGTATTTTGAGGATATTATTGGTTGTCACCATCATCACAATATGTACAGCTATTGTTAGCAACACTCCTTTGAACGTACTATAAACAGAATATTCAATAACAGTGCTCAGGCAACGGCGATAAACGATGCGTCAGCATTAGCAATTTATGTTATTTTATGTGCGCAATGGGTGACATCAAACCCCATTGCATTACATTGACGTCAAGTTTCCGGCCAAGTGAGCGTAAGCGTGAGTGTGAGAGAAAAAGAGAGAGAGAGAGAGAGAGAGCGTGCATATGGGATTGAAAGAATGAAAGTATAAAGGAAAAAAATTGCTGATAACCCATTAACAATTTATCGATGATGAAAATTGTTTCGTTTTATGTGCCAAAAACGCTGCGACACTTTCGGGAAGCTTCGAAAAATGCATCCACATGAAAATGGATATCACATAACAATTATCTGTAGAAACAAGTGCCAAAACAAGAAAATTGCAACGACAAATGGTGAAACAATAGAAATGAATTCAAGAGTTGAACGTGACGTGAGTCTGATTACATCAGTGCCATACTGAAATGCAATGAACACTCGAAATATGCTATTTCAGTCTAATAAAGCATGGCAAATGTCGGTTGATTCTCTTTGAATCAGATTTCATCAATGATTGTATGTCTTTTCTTCAATGTGCGAAGTTTGGTACTGGTGACCGTCTATACAAATAGCATTTGTCAATACAATAGCCCAATCCTTTGTTATGACAGATGTTTTGTCACCAATTACCAGAATCAAAAGATAGCCGACGAACAACTGTGATAACTAAAGTAGACAAACTGCACTTTCAACAAAAGCTTTGTAATGCGAGATTTGTCGTTGTAATTTTGGTAAATTACTGTTGCTTATCATTCGGTGGTCTCACAACACCATGTATACTTTCACAGAATCTTTATCCTAAATGTTGAATCGCACTCGTCGTGAGAAATCTACTACATCCGCCGTTCGTTCTTTGTTTTTAAACTGAATATGTGCTATTTAGTGCAACAACACTTACATTTCAGATGCACGTTTAAATCCTCCCATCACAAAAATGATTATTCAGCATGTAAACAATGACTTTGAAAGAAAATATGCCTTTACGTGCATGTGCCATCCATTTGAGGTTCATTTTATTATAAACTGATTTTGCCATCCATATTGTTTCTAGTTGCAACAGTAAATAATAATGAAGAAAGCATTGTCTTGCTCTCTCGCTGTGTAGTGGCCTCTCCAATTTACAGTCGCTTCATGAGACAGAGCAGTTCAACAGCAATTAGTGGAATTTCGAACTAAAATTAATTGTCACGGGCATATGAGTGATGACGACAGTGCACCACGGGGAAAATACTTCTGGTAAATTATTTTACAAATGAAGTTCTCATATTTTCTCTTTCTCTTTGTGTACGATTAAAAAATGTTTTAACAATGTTCGCAAAAATGTGTTGCTTTTGTCGTAAAATCAAGTCAGCATACTGACTCATAATTTTAACGGAGAAATTACAGTTTTTGCTGCAGATCTATCTAAAACTTAGTTGGTTTTTCAAACGATTAACAAATTTAAGTCGTCAAAAACACTCCGTTATTTATAACAAATGACAAATTCTGTGATTCAAAGTCATACCGGTGGAGTTTTTCCTGAGTATACTAATTTGACGGCGCAATTTACTGAAAAAAAATCGAACAGCGACGATGAATGGGCATTTTCATTCAATGCCGTCGTATTTCATCAGTTTGAAATGGATTATTTTGAACAATTCAATGGTACGCTTACAAGTAGCGGCAATCTTTTCCAAACAGATTATATAAATTTGTTTACAAAGAATGAGAAAATATAGGAGCTGCCAATCTCGTTGAATTTCAATTCAGATAGATGAAACAGCATTTATAAGTTCCGATTTCATGTTTCAAGGCATGAAAATAAATGTGTGATTCGTTTTCATCATTCTGACATATGAAATCACGTTGTCGACACTGTAGTTATACAAGTAATTCGATTCCGGAAAATGGTTTTTGTTTACAGTTGCACAAAATCCAAATTAAAAGCCAGGATTTTACGGTGTGTCGATTGACGCATAGCAATTTTTCATTCAAATTAAATTTGTTGAATTTAATTACAGATTTTGGATTCCATGAGATGACGATTAAATGAATTATTTCAACAGTAAACAACAGTAATTAATAATAATTTAATAAAATTCATATGTTATAAATAGCAAAGTCATCTCGTTATAAATTTTTTCAATATGCGAAAGTGATCCAAATTAAGGTTACTTTGGATGGCAAGAAATGTATAATGAGCAATGCAATAGAAGTGAGTTTCCATTTTCTCACGTACCTATCAATCATGCAAAAAAAAACTTTATTAAATGAGCTTCGAGTTTCAAGAAGAAGAAAAAAACGGATGAAGAAAAAACCGCCTTCCCATATCCATCCGATCAAAGCATTTTCCTTTTTTGCACGTAGCAAAAGTGTGCATTTGCGGTCGATGTAAATGAAAAAGAAACGCATTCCATATCACAACAGAAAAATGCAAACATCAAACAAAGTGCATGAATGCGTCCGTGTTTTTGAAATAGGAGAGTAACGGGTGAATGAGTAAGCAACGAAAGGCTTTTCCGAACAGCTGGCGTGTAGTTTTCCACATTTAGATACACATATTCATATGATATTCAAGCGCAAAACGAATACCGCTGCACGCAGTCGATCAACTCCGTTTTTCTCTCTCTCTCTCTCTCTCTCTCTCTCTCTCTCTCTCTCTCTCTCTCTCTCTCTC